ATTTATCTTGTATATAGGTCATTTATTGTATATGTAAAACAAAACTATCTTGATTTACATGTAAAAACAAAACTATCTTGATTTGTATGTAAAAAAAGATATTTTGATTTGTGCCAAAAGTCCTATTATTATTATAGATATTTTGTGGCTATTTAATGTGTTCATTTAGCTTAAATTATTTATGCAATTTGCTTTAATGAAGTAGAAGCCACAACAGAAACAAAGTCATGTCACTTTTCACAGTAATTTAAGTATTGATATTGATAAGCCTCATGGTCACGGTCTCTGTCAGGTTTAAATGTATTTATTCTTCATACATTAACATATCTACTGTGTAGGTTAACTAAATTGATTTATTCATATTTTTTAACACTATTGTAAGTGGACTTCTCTATCTTTCAATGTAGACAAAATCATTCATTATCTTAGGGAAAATTTCAAAATATGTACCAAATGAATAATGAACATTGCAGACCATGGACAATTATGGCGTGTATGTTCCAGCTGATTTTGGTCGGCACTGGTTTCAATTGAGTAGATTCTGATGCCGGTGCTGCAGCTAAGACTTAACGTACATTTAAATCCCTAAGTATTGATTTGGAATGACTTCAATGTGATACACAGATATTTGATCACGATTGTCAATTTCTTCCCTTGAACAAGGGTGATACCTTCGTGTTGGTAATATGTAAGTGGAAAACAATTTGAAAACTAATAAATTACTGTTTAGTAATAATCAATTTTCTATGCATGCACACTTGATTACAAACAGCGAGGCTGCCTGCTGAATATGCACGTAGGGATTTGAATATCTTTCAGGCATGTAATCTCTATGGAAGAAGTTATCTTTTGTGTTACGTATAATATTAAAATGATTAATGTTGCAATAATATCAAAGAGCAGGGGATAAATTTTGAAATATTGGAAATCAAACGGAAAAAAAAAAATTCAAACAAGAATATTTTAGGATTTGCATCATACAAACATTGAACTTGTGTTAGATAATATTGTTTGTCAGTTTTTGAAATACCCTGTTAAGACTTGAGTGCCTGTATATGGATATGTTTTAATATTCGGTCTAAAATGGTAAGTATTTCTTCATGTTAGTTTGCTAAGTTTTCTCTCAATTAAAGGTAATTTTGTTATAAAATAGTTCTGAAATGGTTGATGATATAAAGCTTGTAATTACATGTAATTGCAGCCAAGAAAGGTTTTTCCTGGTCCAAAATTTGTCTGTCTGGTTGTCTGTCTTAAAAATTATTGTTGTCTGTCTTAAAAATTCTTGTTGTCTATCTTAAAAATTCTTGTTGTCTGTCTTAGAAATTCTTGTTGTCTGTCTTAAAAATTCTTGTTGTCTGTCTTAAAAATAACAGGGTCTGCCTCAGTGATTTTTCTTCTCATTTTTTTGTACAATAGTAGGGCCTTCCTAACCAAAGTGGTTGAGCCGTCCTAAGCCAAGTGGTTATGTTAATTGACTCCGTACCACTTTCTTCTCACCGCTGTAGGTTCAAGCCGATCAGAGGCGTCGTCAGATTCTACATGTGAGAAAGCTATCTAGTTAGCTTACAGAACATCATTTGTTATATTCACCTGAAATAATGTTCAGAAGAGAAGCTCACTTTACCTTCACTGGTAAAGCTGGAATATAGCGCCATATGGGTATGATATATAAACAGACAAAAAAAGAAAAATGTGTAAAATAGTGCTGTATTATATCAGAAAGTCAAGACAATCATAATTGCAGAGAGGAAATTCCTCCTCATAAATGTTGGATGAAGTTGTAAATATTTTAATTGATAAGGGTCTGTATATTTGTTTTGGTCAAATTAAACTTAAATTTTCCATTAAAAAGTACTGTAGTTGTTAATATATGATAGTACATTTAAATTGAAATATCAGAAAAGTTGAAGTGCATCGGCCACAACAATTTTATTGCTAATGCAAAAGATTAAAAATCAGATAATTAAGAAAACCGGATACAGATATAGTATTGTTGTCGTTTTTTTTTTACTTAAAATAGCAAAGATTTGTCTCTTATGGTACATTTAGGATAAAAGATCATTTTGCTTAAAGGATACTGCATTTGAATATGGTTTAAACATGACGGTTCTTATTATTATACCCCCACAAACGAAGTTTAGGGGGGGTATATAGGAGTCAGCTTGTCGGTCGGTCGGTTGGTCGGTCGGTCGGTCGGTCGGTCCGTCGGTCGGTCCACATCATGGTTTCCGGACGATAACTAGAGTTTGGAATGAGGTATTGTAATCAAACTTGGTATATAGCAACCTTATGTGGAAACTCCGGTTGGTATTGCATTTTGACCCCCTGGGGTCAAGGTCAAGGTCACCGTTACTAAAAATAGAAAAATGGTTTCCGGACAATAACTAGAGTTAGGAATGAGATATTGTTATCAAACTTTGCGTATAGCAAGCTTATATGAAGACCTGGGTTGGTATTGCATTTAGGCCCCCTGGGGTCAAGGTCAAGGTCATGGTTACTAAAAATAGAAAATTGTTTCCGGACAATAACTTTAGTTAGGAATGAGATATTGTAATCAAACTTGGTGTATAGCAAGCTTATATGAAGACCTGGGTTGGTATTGTATTTGGATCCCCTGGGGTCAAGGTCAAGGTCACCATTACTAAAAATAGAAAAATGGTTTCCGGACAATAACTAGTGTTAGGAATGAGATATTGTTATCAAACTTGGTGTATAGCAAGCTTATATGAAGACCTGGGTTGGTATTGCATTTGGACCCCCTGGGGTCAAGGTCAAGGTTACCGTTACTAAAAACAGAAAAATGGTTTCTGGAAAATAACTTGAGTTAGGAATGAGATATTGTAATCAAACTTGGTGTATAGCAAGCTTATATGAAGACCTGGGTTGGTATTGTTTTTGGACCCCCTGGGGTCAAGGTCAAGGTCACCGTTACTAAAAATAGAAAAATGGTTTCCGGACAATAACTAGAGTTAGGAATGAGATATTGTTATTAAACTTGGTGTATAGCAAGCTTATATGAAGACCTGGGTTGGTATTGCATTTGGACCCCCTGGGGTCAAGGTCAAGGTTATCATTCCTTAAAATAGAAAAATGGTTTCCGGACAATAACTAGAGTTAGGAATGAGATATTGTAATCAAACTTTGTGAAAAGCAAGCTTATTTGGAGACCCCAGTTGGGATTACAATTAATTGAAATATTTCTTTGTACACAGTTGATAGTTTGTGTTGAATTTTTTCTTCAGACTACTTTTTTTTCAAAAAGTTGCTGGTGGGGGTATTAATCACCTTCAGTGATAGGTCTAGTTACCCTAGGAAACACAGAGACATATTGTTCTCAGTCCTCTTTGGTGTTTGACCAACTGGATTGAAGCATCTTGGAACTGGCATGTTTTCTTGTTTGCCTAATATAGATTAAAAAAAATTCTAGAAAGAAAATCAATCATATCAGTAATCATCTATAATCAAAATTAATAAACCATAACTTAATCCATAAAAGCAGTGATATTTGATGCTAGTAAATGCATGGGGAATTACAGTACAGTTTAATTTAATCGGCATCATTGCCTGGTACACAACAGTTCATTACAGAGTCAGTTGGTGTCCATATTAGGTTGTTACAATGTAGGTCAAGTTAAAAACATTGTTGGTTTTAGGTCCTTTGGCTTCTTGAAAAATGATTTTGTGGTTGAAGATGAGCATTGTTATAAAATGGTTGATTTAAATCCTTGGTGCTGGAATGGTAAGAGTATAACTGGTGCTGAGCTATTGTGTGTTTCTTATATCAGCTTATACCTGATATGTTGCAATTGATCTTAACGTGTTATATGGCTAATGTATTGAAATAGATTCTGATGTATTATATGGCTGATATATTGAAATTGATATTGGTATGTTATATGGCTGTTATATTGAAATGGATCTTCAATGTGTTATATGGCTGATATATTGAAATGGATCTTGGTGTATTATATGGCTGATAAGGTAAAATGGATCTTGATGTGTTAAATGGTTGAACTTGTTGTGTTGGAATGGATCTTGAAATGTTGCAAATCATTATATTACTGCTAGCTTTTTTGCAAGAAACAAATAGGATATAGAACCCAACTTATGATAATAAAGGTTGGCCTTAAGGTGTATTAAAGTTCTGTAAAAAAAGTATGATTTTATTGATCTTCAATGTTTATTACAAGGCATAATACTGTATATAATAACAACAGGGTAAATTAGGCTGTAACATTTAAAATAAGCAGCAAACATTTCTTTATCAATTATTTCAAACAACAGTCAATATTCATTCTTACTTGAAACATTGAAAATATTGTGTGATAAACTGTTAAAGTTGACAATAAAAATTGTTTTGTCATCTTTTTTTGGATTTATATACTTTTTGGCAGTTTATAGTAGTTGTTAGCTAACTTTAGAACCATTCTAATGTCTTAATACATATATTTGCTACATTTTAAAGTTCTACAGAAATATTAAATAACAAGTTAAATTGTTTTCCAACAGAAAGAGTTCTTTAGAAAATGGAAGTTAATTGGATATTGGAGTGTGCTAAAATTTTCAACAAGTGATTTATATGAAAGTTAATTCTTTAAAACTCTTTATTAATTAGATTGGTGTATTTTTTCATTGGGTTTTAATTGGATATCAAATTTTAACTTTTTAAAAATAAAGTGCTTGCTAATTAAAAAGTTATAAAACATGAATGGTGCTTTAGCATGTATGGTACCTCAAGTGACATATCTTTTTATCAGTTTTTAATGTTGAGAATTTACTTTTTTTAATTGTAAATGATTTTGTAGCTTTGAACTTTACACTGGTCCAGTTTTAAATTTACAGAGTTTAAACCAAAAGCTTCAGGAAAAATATAATAGTTTTTCTAGTTTATGAAAACTGCGGGCTCTTTTTGGAATATGATTTTGCGAGAATTCGTGAGGAACACTTAGAAAAGGAATATTTTCAATGTGAAAATTACATGTGATAACTGGAAATTTGGTCCAGCTTGCACGAAACCAGAATGGCTGAAAGTAACCCAATATTTGGTCTTGCAAAATTAAATGTTACTGCAAAGTTGGAGAATTTTTTTAAGAAGTATGTGTACAGTGGAGGGTTTTTAGCCAATGATATTTCTGAAAAATTATTTGATTATGGCGAGGCTAGTCAAGCTTGTTACAAGGTAAGATAATTCATAGGAAAACTTATTAAACTCCCATTTATAGTAAATTAAAAAAATATTTTTTTTAGATATCACAAGCATGTAAGTGTTTTGTTTGGATGTAAATTAAAGTAAGTAAAGTAAGTAAAGTATCCATAGTGCTTTGTGGGATTTATACCCTCAGTGGTGAGAGGTGAGTAATTTGCAATCGACAACCTTCACCACTTGGCCATGGAGGCCATTACACAGAGAAAGACAGGCTTAAAGGATAAGAAAATATAAAAATTGGAAAAATGGACAAACATCCATGAGTCATTATGGTAAAGTTTTGTGTAAACATGTAAGTACTTGCTGTCTAAGGCAGAGTTGTTGACTTCAAAACCTTTGCCTCTCACCGCAATGGGTTTGATTTCGCTAGGGACTTTGAATTCTTCAATATGAAGATTATTTGCCGCTAACTTACAGCACATTGCTGGTTCTATTCTGGTGTCTGTTCATACCTGAAATAATGAAGGGCACATGAGGTTTTCCTCTACCAGTATTGCTGGACAGTCGCACATGACCTACAAAGTGTTGGTGAGACGTAAAAAGTTAACCAAAATAAAACAACAACAAAAAAAACAAACAAAAAACTGTTGAATGTAGACAATTGAAATTTCATATTGGCAATCAGACTGATTTTTGATTAAATGATATTAAGTTATAATAATTTAAAATTGAGTTCAAGTATGATTTATCAAAATTTATATTAAACTTGCATAGAATGAAGCTAATTCAACAAAGCTGTAATTACAAAAGTCACTTAAACATTTTAAGAACACTTTAAAGCAATTAAATTATTTGTTTATCTGGTAAAAAACTTGCTTTTCAAATATTCCAATTTCCAAGTTTTTATTGCAAGCCCTTAAACCAAGTTCTCTGTGGTGTGCTTGATTGGTAAACACACTAATGCATGTCAACAGGCCTTGTCATTTATTTTCAAGGAGAGAAATCATAAAAATGACCACTTAATAAATTTATGGTGTGTTTTATTGTTGGATATATCCTGGTTTCACCATTAAATGTCTCAGCTCTGCTTGTAAGATGATATTGGAATATTGTATATGTGTTCAATATCGTGGAAAATGGAGGCTTTTGTTAAGAATTTGCTAAAAATGGATGTACATGTTTTTGGAAAGCTTTGTCCTCGATGGAAGCGAAAGCGCGAGGTTGGTTGTCTGTGATTTTTATTGTCTCTTAAGTGAAAGTGGGCTTGTTTTGGGTTTTCATTTTTTTTTCAACAAAGTTGTATTTGATTTTGTGCCACAAAGCACACAGTGCAGGTATTACTTAGATTAATTTTTTTTACTGGAACAATTATTTTCTGTTGCTACATCATCTGTTATACACACTGTTTGTACAATTAATTTGCTCGTGTTTCTTTTTTTATATAAAAAGATTTCCACACTATAAATAACTAACAACAGCATGAAACATATGTATTTATATATGTAAATAGCTACAGAAAGTCATAAGAGGAATTGGAGCAAAGTTATCACAATTCTGAGGAAAGGTTTGTGGCCACCTTGCATAATATTCTTAGGCAAACAAGCAGTGTAACTGCTTGATAAGGTGCCTAGTAGAATTATTCTAAAGTTCAGTGTTGATAGTTCTTTTAAATTCCCTGTTGTATTTTTTCTCTTACTTGCTATACACTTAATTTAGTGTTTAGTGTATTAAAATGAAAATTTGTGTAGCAGGGCTGTCATAAGTTTTCTGACAAAATTTGTTTTGAATTTGAGAGTGACGGTATGATTTTTTGGTTTTATTACATACAACAAATAGTGTTTTCTAAATTATGAGGTGGCCACAAATGAATTTAAAACAATAATACAGTTTGACCTACAGGTGCCTCTTAAGTTATTGACAACCCTCTCAGAGTAACCAAATGTATAGAGTTTGGCTTGGCTTATTATATGCCGGCAGCTGAGTCAGGTTTGATAGTATTGCTTCCAGCAAGTGAAAGGTTAAGGAAGGGCAATGTTAACACAGTGTTTGTTGTTAATGTGTTACCAACCACTTTGACCAACACTTAATATACATAGTAACAAATTACTTCAGATAAAAGCAATAAATTTTACATTCAATGTTAGATTTACATTTTAATCTCAACTTTTAAAGTACACTCTACTGAAAATAAGGTGCTAACCCTGGTGTCTTATTTTATCATATAAAATTTATTGTCGATGTTAGAACAGAATGACTTATTGGTCTAATCATGAAGGAAGTGGGACTGTATGTTCAAAACAAATTTAAATCTAATTGAGGTATGACATACATTATAGTTGCTACAACAAGATCAGTTATTTATTGTATGTTAAGTTTCTAATTTTGTAGGAACTTTACATCTATTATCTTTTTAGATGACTAAATAGTAAATATATTGTTACTTAAGGTAGTCTTACTGCAATCCCAAAAAATGTCTAACATCGGCCAATATCATAATAAATCAGTCATTTCCGGAACATTATTTTTTGCAATCTTCGGTGTCCAATATTGTTTTTACTGTTCATAAGCAGAATTCAGTACATAGTAGTAAGAATGAGTGATTGTATATAATCAGTAATGCCCAAGATTTTGAAAAAAATAACATTTAAGAAATAACCGATTTGCTATGCTATTGGCCTATGTTCGAATTTTTTTTGTAGGAAAGCATTACAATAAACATCCTTAACTTTGTAGACTTATAAATAATGATATTGCTTTAAGCAGTTTGCTGATTGGATATTTCATGATCCTAGTAAAATTACAGTGTAACCTGCCTATAGTGGTCAGGTAACTGAGCTTAAATGACCACTTTAGACAGGTGACCATTGTATCCAGGTTGACATTTACTTTAGTATGTTATGATAAAATATGGCTCTATTGGATTTATTATGTACTATATATAAATTAATGCTGCCCTCATTAAAATGTTAGCTTGGCAAGTGTTTTTGTATTATAAATTATTTCTTTATCTTCATAAAATGATATTAATTTTGCTGTATTTTAATGATGTGTTTCAGATAGAGGAAAGAATCAATATAGATACACTAGAAGAACTTAAGAAAACATTTGCACAGGCCGATACCAACAAGAGTGGACAACTTGAACTAAATGAATTTAAAGCACTTCTTAAATCAAAACTTGCTGTCAGTGGAAATAGGGTAGGTCCCATCTTAGTGTCTCCAATAATGAATGAATGAATGAAGAACAAATGAACCAACAGACAAACAAACTGTAAAGTGGACAAACTGTAATTTATATCCCACTATTTAAAATATATTTATAAAAAATTGGTCTTTGACAGTTTTTCAATAATTATTTTGTCACATTTGTTTGTTTTAATAATTTTCCTGATATAGGCTGTCTAAGTAAAATCAAGTTATATTCACTTTTTCTACCATAATATTTATATTCCCCTAAGGAAAGCCTGCATATATAGTAAAAAATTCATAGATATGAATAAACAAGCAAATTTTGATCAGGTATGTCATTAATGAATTATTTACTGTGTTTTTAGGAAGCACAGATAGATTCACTGTTTATGAAGATAGACTGGGCGTCGGAGGGAGCTATTACTTGGGATGAGTTCTGTACATACATGCAACTGGAGTATGCCGAGAAAGAAGACTCGTACAAAAGGGCGAAAGATGTGGACTTTCACCTGCCAGCCAAGATAACCAATATTCCACATAGAGATCCTATGTTAAGGATAACTGATACTGTAGATGGCACCTTTGTAGCTTGCAGTCAGGTAACAGAGCTTGTTAAAGGCCACGGTTTTATTCTAGCTGTCGTAAATTTTTACTATACAGTACAATAATCTTGTTAAAAATTATCTATTGAAGTCATTGAACGCATTTGGTAGTGATTGCTTGACTGTGCACACATGATGCCAGAATGCATATCTAAGACTATGCAGTCTTAAACTATATTGTCACCTATTCAATATAAGCATAAATTTACATAGTCAACACCAAGGCAGTAAAAGTATTAAATACTTTCATATAGTGAAGCAACATAATTTTAGGTTAGTAAATCTTAAATGTGTGTCTCTAATATATTATTGAAAATTATTAAATGTAGAATTCTACCAATTCATAGCACTTAATAATATGACCAATACTAAAACAGAGTGGTTAAGGTCCTTAATTTTAAACCACTTGCCCCTCACCGCTGTTGGTTCTAATCCTGACGGGGACTTTGGGTTATTTCATGTGAGGAAGCTTTTCAGCTAGCCTACTGAACAACAGTGGTTCTACTCAAGTGCCCTTTTGTGCCTGTCAAATAATGCATGGAAGGGCATTTGAGGTCTTCCTCTACCAGTAAAGCTGGAAAGTCGCTATATTACCAATATTGTGTTGGTGAAAATTAAAATCCAACCAAAAAAGCATTAGGTTATCAGAAAATGTAATATTTTTTAGGAAAACTGTGGAAGTTCTTTCTGTCTGCAAGACAGTCTTCTCACCATTTGTACTCTTAAAACAAACATTGCAGTGTTTGTACTTGTAGACAATTTGCAGTAATTAATAAATTATATACTTATACAGACTTATACATTTAGTTTTACTTGTATTACAGGATGGCATGGTATCATTCTGGTCTCCTGGTATTGAACTGAAGAGAACGAGACATGTTGTGGTATGTACACGTCACTGTTGTATATCATATTATTTATTTGATAGGAACAAAACATTTACTAGCCATAATTAGATTATATTATACGAAAATTCAGAAATCTGTTATTATATTGCCGTTTCTTACTGTCAAAATTTTGGTTTGATCAACATCAATCCGTCCATTTTGAGCAAGAAACTTTACTAGTACAGGTTGGTTCCAGGAACAGATTCAAGTGTTTCAATAAGCTTATAGCTTCCCACACAATTCAAAATAAAATAAATTTGCATGAACTAGACTTATCGTCAATTTTCTTTTTATCATAATTTCATTTTTCTGTGTCATTTTTCTAGAACACAGAGCAGTCCTCGAGAGCAAAACCAAAATGGATCACAGACTTTGTTATAATGCCACAGTACAACAAATTCATTGTCGGAACAGGGTATACAAACTTTTTGTTATTTTTTTGAACAGTTTAAAAGGTATACCAATATAAAACTTGGCATACTGACTAATTATGACAAGGCACAGTTGTTACTGTGTTTCATATATTACCTGTATGCCTAAAGTTTCCATGCTCTCTTGAAACTCTTTTAAAAATGACAATTCTATATGAAAATGATGGATTTTGATGGAATTATTTGGTAAAGATTGAATTTTTTTATCAAGTATTCCAAAAACAAGCATAATATCATGTAAATCTCAGAGTTTGGTATTGTACAAAGTAAAATTCACAAGTTTTGAGTTTTGATTGTATATTTTAGGGATCGTGAGATACAATTTTTTGAGCTGTCCTCGTTTGAGCCTTATTGTCAGATAAGTGGTCTTGAAACTGTGCCACTTAAACTTGATTACTGGTGAGTAAATGGTTATATTTGTTGTTTCATATTGTTTCTAATAAATTATTTAAACATCTTGTAAAATTTCGACTCCAAAAAGAAAAAAATGTCTTTTAAACATTTGAAAGGAGTCACATTTTATGAAAAAATTCTGAAATACAAATTATTTAGGATGATATCTTTTTATAATGTTAGGCACTGTATTGTAGTGTATTAATTTTTTCAACTAATATATTAAATCACATTTTATTATATGTATATTTTACAGTGATACTGGACATGATGAATGTCTGATTTTGTTTGGAGACAGCCAAGGGGCGATTAATATACTAGTCATAACATCAGCTGGAGAATGTCTCAGGTTTATTATTTATATACATAATCTGATCACTGTTCATTACCTTATTATAAATGTTGATTGAAACCAAATGATCATGTGATGCATGTTAAATGAATTACGATACTGTTTCTTATACTGTTTCATATATTGTTTGAGTTTGCCCGCTTAGCTCAAAGGGAGAGCATTGGATTTGTAATTCAGGGTCACTGGTTCGATACTTAGGCAAGGCGAAATTTCTCTATGATTATTGATGTTGGACATTAAGCCTAAAAGTAAGAAATCATGTGGGATATTAGTATTCAGTCCCTTGCGAAGAAATTGGTAACTACTGGTAAGTGATCCAGGAAAGTTAGTTAGGTGGACTAAGCACCAAAATGTGTTAAATCGGCATGAAAAACGTGAAAAGTTTACAGCCTTTGATTTAAAACCTTACTGATAAGAATAATGAGGTTAATTTGATATTACTAATTTTGAAAACTTGAGAAGTTAGTTCAGTTGACAATATGATATATATTGCTATGTCCATTGTCCAATCATTTATGATCAAATGAGCATGATGATGAGCATTTACAACGAAAAAAAGTCCATAGCATCCCTAAATGAATAATTAAGAGCTACACAGATTGACAATGTTGCATGACAGAATCAGTACAGGTTATTTATGGACAAAATACTGGTACTTTAAAAGTAGAAAATTTTAATATGTATACCTGAGAATACAATTTTTGTACAGATGTTGAAAACTTATCTCATTTTTTTAGAACCTGGAAAAAGATGCCTAAAAATGATGGTTTTATAGCAAGTATATCATTGAATGACGCTGTTGGACCAAATGTCAATTTTATACGCTGGGCAGTGCATGGGGATTGGGTACAACAGGTAGGTTTATTGTAAAATTGTGAAAACTACAGTGTATGTACACTGTGCTTCTCTTAGTTCACAGTACATAACACTTTGAAACAAGAGGGAAAACAAACAATGAATTTAAGGTACAAAATATTGTCATCAGCTGTAACACTCCGGTATTTTCTGTTGTATGATACTGTTGTATGATACAAGAAAACAACAACATATTCATTCAAGGTCAGATTATAATATGCCAAATTTTGACCAATTTTGAAAATATGTCATTACTGTGAAATAATGATGATGCTAAATTAGTGATCAATTGAGTATGATATACAGAAAGAACACACAAAAAACATGCAACATGGAAAACTGACTTGCAATATGTAAGACATATAAGACAAGTATAACATGTTAAAGCTATGCTGTCTCTGATGAAAAATAATGTTTTTAAATTAGTAGAACACAAAGAAAATTAGCAATTTTACTTGCAGCAAGCAGCAATAATATAATAAATTAATGAGCATTTAACCTGTAAAAAAATGGTCAAAAGAAACTGTAATGTCAGTTACTTGCACTGGAATAGAAAAACTTGGTCAAGAAATACATGAAAGATTTAACACTGTATGATCTTAAAAATGTTTTTTAAAGAGGCATACAAATATCATATGCTTGCTCAGTACTATGAATTCTGTATTTATAGGTTGTATCTTAACAATGTGTATTTATTTAAATAGTTTGTAATCTTTGGGGTTTTTTTGTTATCTTTGGGGTCTTTGTTTTGCTGTCATTTATTTAACAACTAAATATTTTTATTACAGTTGAAATATTACCATGAAATAGAGCAGGTGATCTCGTGTTCAAACCATGCTAATACTGCACTTGTTATTGGTAAGTTTGTCAAAGACTTCACTTTAATTCTTGTTTTTGATATTTAAACTTCCAAAGTTATTCTAATTAATGTAGTTTAGCTGCATCTGATATGTGGTGTTTACAACAAAATTATTTGACATGCCTTGAATTTGTTTGGAAGTTTGAATATACATTAGAAGTAGGGCTGTCATTGAATATCACAATATCATTATATTATCATCCAATACAATATCAATACACATTTTCAAATATCAATACAAGCTCAAATTTATTTATTTCTGTTAGTGAATGTACCTCTCTTCTTTGCCTAAGAAAAGTCATTTTTTTCCAGTTTTCTTGGCTGACTTGAACTTTAAACTCAGTTTTCATATGTCATTGACAAAAATAACAGGAAAAAAAATCAACTTTCTGTAAGTTTGTAGTATTTGTAATGTCTTATACAAGCATAAATAGCAACATGATCCCAATTTATAACACATGTTTACATGTATTTCATTGTTTCTACTGTCAAAGTCAATATATCGATATATTGTCCATATTTGTTTCTCGATATATCAACACCAAATTTTCGGTCAATGACAGCCCTAATTAGAAGATTTTTTTTTATTTCCCAGGATGCACCACAGGAAGTACTCATGTTGAGCAGCAGTTGAAGGAACTGAAGGATGGTGGGAAGGATAATAAAGAACCAAAAGATAATCGTGATGCTAACGTCATATCATCTAATCAGGAGAAAAAACAAACAAACAAATACACATATGGAGTAATGAAAAACAGACTAGAAACAGACCAATCAGTGTTCAGAGTTTATAAAGGTGTAAAGTGTTTTGATTTTTCAAAAGATAAAAACATTATTGTGACCGGCGGAATGGACAGGATTGTCAGACTTTGGAATCCATATGTATCCGGGTAAAGATCATTGTTTATATTTTTGGTTGCCCGCACAATTTCTTCTTTTATGTCATTACATGCTGAAAGTAGTAATTTCTGTGCCTGTACTTTATTGTTTACTTTCCTAAAAAGCAGGAAAATTTAAATGGTACTTAGTAAAGCGGGTCACTAACTTGTCATCTTTTACTAAACACACTTTTTTGATAGCACAGCCATCCGTTCATCTGTCCGTCTGTTTGGTTAAAAAACATTAGACTAGTAGTCTAAGGATTGCTAGCCTCATGATTTAAAACCCATCAGGAGCAAGCTATTATTTTCTTGATCAAGAAACTTTTACATTCATCACTCAGTACTGGTTGGTTCTCCAGGAATGGATTTGAGAGTATATTTACAAGCGAATAGCTTCCTACAAAATCAAACTAAAATAAATTCTGTGTATAAACTAAACAATATTTCTGGAAGAATTTCTGAAAGAGGTTGTGTCGTAATGCCAGACAAGTGAAAAACATTAGCTAACTTGAATATGTGATTGCATTTTTAAGATTTTAGATAAAAATATGTCATAATATTTTTTATTTGTTCTGGTTCAAACATTTAGTACTGTTATTAACTTGGTATGTGGTCAGTGTAAAATATTGATGGAAAGGTCTTTTCTTCCTCACTTTATGATTTTGGATGCTCTAGTGCCTAAATGTAGTTAATATTTCATCGAAGACATTATGTTAAAGCTGCATGCCTCCAGATGAGGCAAAAAAATTCAAGAACATCAACCTTGAGAAAAATGTACTAAGATTTTAAGAAACGTTAAAAAATACATGATTCAAGAAATAATTTACATGTTACAGGCATTTTATGACTGATTTTGCAGTTTTAAATGCCATAATAATTTCTTCTGCTTGAAAAACACAGTAAGGGCTATTTTTGCAAATTTTGACCTATTATTGTTACTTTTTCTAGATTTAAAGTGCTTTTTGCAATGTGCAAATTACTTTCTTTGTTAACTGGACATTATTTTATTTTTTACTACAGTTTAAAAAGTGTTCTTGAAAATTAGCATGGATCTGGGGGCATGCTGCTTTAACTGTTGTAGTAGTTACAAATGTCAAACAATCACTGTTTGAATCTAGTGACCTACAAGTTACTTAGAACAAAAATATCAACATGGATTTGTACCAATTTTTATTTCATTTTTTTTCTTGTAGGAAACCAACTGCGATGTTAAGAGGACATAGTGCCCCCATATTTTTCATATTTGTGGCAGAGGAAGAGAACAGGATATTCAGTATTTCTACAGATAAATGTATCAAGGTATTTCCTCAGCTAATATCATCTCACTGGTCTATTTCTGTATAAGACTTTAATAATCTAGCACTCTCCTTTGATATATAATTTTCTGAAAGACTATTTCATGTCCACTGAAGCGACTGTAAATACAAACTTAGTTTAAATAAAAAAGTGCACATTTTAACTTTTTGCATTGACGTTTTGCCAGTACTAAAGCTTGTTGGGTAAATGGTATGCCCTTCAGAAAGTTCTAAGTGTATAGATTTTAGATAGGTTTGTTATTTTACTCCTAATACAGTTTAGTGTATATTTGTAAGCTGAGAAGATGAACGCTATGTAAAACAGTTTATACGCCCATTCTCAATAAAATAAAGCATTTGAGGTTGAAAAATATTAAAAATTTGATGTTGTCATTGTGTCATTTTTTATCGCTGAAGTAAAAGTTTAGGGTATTTTGCAAGTTTGCCAGAAATATTTTGAACAAGAAACTATGATATAACAGGATGGCATTTATTTCGGTAATGACACTGTATTTCTTCGGTAACGTAGATTTCAGATCTAATAATGTAACATATTGGCTGCATATTAATAACAAATGTCTGTAAAATATATCAAAATCTGTAAATTCTCTTTCTAGAGGGCCTTTCTAACCCAGGAAAATTCAAGGAAGTTGGGTACCTTGCTAATTTTCAGTCAATTTCTTCAAAGTGAAATATTCGTAGAAAGCAAAAAATAGTCAATTTTGGAAATGATTATTTTATGTCTTCGTTCAAAGGACATATATCATAAATAATATATGAGAGGTCGAATGCATACACAAATGTTGTATTAGCAATTTTTTTTTCAAAACATTCAACTTTCCACTTTCTTAATATTTGGAAAATTTATTGCTAAGCAGTTCTGTATTTATCCCAATATAGGATGTCACGTATGTTTCATTTTATTCAAATGCAAGTAAAAGGATGAGAAAACAATTTTATTTTTTGTAAAATAATTTATATTTATGGATATTATTTTAACATTATTATATATAGAATGAAATACGGCCAGTAAGCTCTTTGCAGAAACGAATTAGTTGTTGCTGAGAACATCAATATCTTGTAATATATTTTTAACATTTCTGCTGGTACATCAACATATTATTAACATATCTTTCCTTTGTAAAAACAATTTTGTATCTTCTTACATCTAATACAAGGTAACCGTTACTAACAGGCATGTTAATCCCAACTTTATCTTTAATTTTAAAAAAAATGTTGAATTGTAAGTTGGAGTAACGTATGTTTCACACTCGCTTATTTATGAACTTTATCACGGAATTGAAACTTACATGTAAAATCGCCTTTTTTATTTAGGAATCAAATGTTCATCATTCTATTTCATAAAAATGCGATTTTATGTTTTTATATATGCATGTGTAAACAATATAAAGTATGTTTGATAAAAGTAACGTTTGTTTCACTGTGGTTACTTAAACAAGTTAAAACTCGACCAAAGTTAACAAAATTTACTTACTAATGTCAAATAGAAGTTAATGTTGCTGATATACGTGCTTTCTGACTTCAATTTCCCTTTTGATAAACTTACTTTAAAAAGTTGATAACGTATGTTTCTGTAACGTATGTTTCATTTTTACATTGAAAGTGGGTTAAAAAATGACACAAAACCGTTTAACCCGCCATAATTTGTGGTTAATATATCAGAGTTACACACATGTTAATTTTCTTTCTTGTTTGGATTCTTCTTTGAATGGATTGGCTCTTAAATAATGGTAACGTATGTTTCTTTTTAAAATGCTGTTGAAAAAAAATGAATAAAAAATGAAAATTTCCGAAAATATAATGATATTTGAGAGGCTGCAAGCTTATTTTTACTTATAATTATATATATGCTGTATTATTAAGCATGCATCGATTCAATTATGTAATTTCGGTTTCACTTCTTATTGTTTTAGGTTTGTCACTATTTATTTATATGCATTTGGCGACATTTGATCATCCATTATATCAATGAGATTTTAACAGTAAAATATAATTTTTACCAATAATCAAAGTTCATATACACACAGCAATGACTAATTGCACATGTTTCGTTTATTCTGGAACTTATTTTTCTGAAACACAATTTCAAAGTTGAAAATTCTAGGTGGCGACAGTAACGTATGTTACATTTTAGGGCATTAATGGTACTTGTAAAAGAAAAATAACAGATAGAAATGTAAAACTGAGAGTGTCCCTATTAGACAAAGTGGCAGCCACCTTTCTAACGACATTTTGACCTCAAGAAAAACCTTCGTATAAGAGCTACCCAGTGGAACATCAAATGCTGTGTTTTATTGAGAATGAGCGTATAGTCCTAGTATAGGAGAATAAGTTACCTATTAGTCAAAAACTTGCTAGTCAAAAATTATGACTGTGTAATATTGACTGTCTGCTTGTATGTATCACTGATATATTGCTGGATACTGGACTAAGAATTAAACACAAACAATTGGAGTAAAAAACATGGTGTAAGAGTATTTTATGATTGAAGACCATTAACCTATTCAAGAAAGTAGACATATTTATATACAGGATACATTTCCCACCATATACAAAACATATATATAGAGGATATTTGTTTGTTTTGCATGTAAGATTGAAATATAATTTCACTGAGTGAACACCAGATGCAATATTTTCACGAGTGGCGTAGCCACGAGTGAAAATATAATAGCTGGTGTTCACGAATGAAATATATTTCAATCTTATATGTAAAACAAATAAATTTTCTTTTTATTTCATGCTTTTTAAATGATTTTAAGTACTTTTTTACTAATTTTGCTGCGTAACGTCCCGCATTCTCCCATGTGACGTCATCACATCATGACGTCACATTATCAATTTTGAAAAATAGGTCTGTTACATTTCTCTAATTTTGTTACATTTTTAACATTATGTATGATGACATCGACTTTCTTTTCCTAAAGAAGCAAAATTTACGCATGATGGCATATATTTCTGCCTGTTATTCCATTCAGTTATGATTTTCCTTTCATCCGCATTCAGATATAGTCCGACTACAGTGAAAATTATATTTTATAAATTTCACTAGTGGTTTATCAGAATATAATCATCTGATATATTACAATAAAACACTGGAAAGCATGAAATAAATATACACAACACAACAAAAAAGTTATCATTAGCAGAATCAGAATGTAGACAAGAAGATGATTGCAATTTTAGCTCGACTATTCGAAGAATATGAGAGCTATTGTAGTATGGCGTCGGCGTCAGCGTCCGCGTCGGCGTCTGCCTTGGTTAAAGTTTTTTGTAAAGTCAAATATCTCAATTATTACTTGAGATATTCAATTGAAACTTACAATACTTATTTATATTAATAAGGTACATCAGATTGACAAGTTGGATAACTCTGCCTACAATATTGACAGAATTATGCCCCTTTTTAACTTAGAAATTTTGGTTAAAGTTTTTTGTAAAGTCAAATATCTCAATGATTGCTTGAGATATTCAATTGAAACTTACAATACTTATTTATAGTAACAAGGTACATCAGATTTACAAGTTGGATAACTCTGCCTACAATATTGACAGAATTATGCCTCTTTTTAACTTAGAAATTTTGGTTAAAGGTTTTTGTAAAGTCAAATATCTCAATTATTGCTTGAGATATTCAATTGAAACTTACAATACTTATTTATAGTGATAAGGTACATCAGATTGACAAGTTGGATAACTCTGCCTACAAAATTGACAGAATTATGCCCCTTTGGAACTTAGAAATTTTGGTTAAAGTTTTTTTGTAAAGTCAAATATCTCAATGATTGCTTGAGATATTCAATTGAAATTTAAAATACTTTTTTATAGTAACAATGTACATCAGTTTGCAAAATTGCATAACTCTGCCTAAAATATTTGCAGAATTATTTGCCCCTTTGAAACTTTGAAATTTTGGTTAAAGATTAAAGGTCTTCAAAGATATTTACTTGAAACTTTACACATGCACTTAGGGTCATAATTGGAGGGTCATGATTGTATGTCACTGACCAAGTTCCATAACTCTATCTTGCATTAAGGCTGATTCATATCCCCTTTTCTACTTAGTCTCTTGGTTAATGTTTACATGCAATTTTTACATATCTCAATAACTATTAAAGATATTTATTTAAAACTTCACATATGCATTTAGGGTCATAATTGTAGGTCACTGACAAAGATCCATAATTCTATCTTGCATTTAGGCTGATTTTTCTCCCCTTTTTAAACTTAGAAATTCATGTTAAAGTTTTGCTTGTAAGCTGTTATCTCAATAACTACTGAAGGGTTTGTGCCTTTTTTGTGACAATTTTATGCATTCATAATAATAAAGCAGGGATTTACTTGATAAAACATCTTAATAACAAGCCTTTGTACCTTTTCTGTCAAATTTATTTATTCATAGGTAATTAGTATTATTATACTCAATAAAACACCCTTGTGACATTACTGTATAATTAGACTCTCTCTTAGGCCTATAACATGAATTTATAAAAAAAAATTAGCCCTTTTGTGAACTTTATTTAACATTATCAAGGCTCTTTTACTATCAAGCACTTCGAATAGTCGAGCGTGCTGTCCTACCAACAGCTCTTGTATTGTTTGCATTTTTTTACCATTCATGATGCAGCAAGGGAAATTGAAACCTGCGGCTTAATGGACCAGTATTCCCCCTCCCTTCTTTTTAAATCATAATATTTGAAATATTGGCATTTATTTCATTGATTTAATTTATAAACAAGTTAAAAATATAAAGATATAAATTACTTTCAGGTATGGGATATACAGGATCACACTTGTCTTCTCACTATACGACCCAAGAGTCACAAAATACGTGGCGACCTACAAGCTGTTCATTATTCTAATATATCAAAAACTGTTGCCGTAGCAACTGACCAGATGGCAGGACTCAACTTGAGGCTCAAGTATGTTTGTGTTACTTTCTATTTAAAATGTGCCACCTCAGTGCAAGAAGGCTGTAATTTGACAAATATGATCAGTTACAATTATCTTGCATTGAGGAAATATTATGTATATATAATTATATAGGACCTTGCATAAGTTGTCATTTTGTATCATTTTGATATATTAAATAAGTCTTAGTGTTATAAAGTGAGCCTGTGGCAAGCTTAGCAACATTTTTGGACAAAATTATATTATTGAAAGTGAATATAAAGTTACAATGAATGTAAGATCCTTTTTATCACATGATATTGAAAGACCACAACTTGTTATAAAAATTACAAAAAAAAATACTGTTTTTAAAAACAAGGCCACTCGTTTACTTTAATAAAAGTATGCACAGTGAGTGTTCACTATTCAGTCAGTATATATTTTAAAATTGTTATTGAAAATGAAATATGGTTTGTCCAGATTGAAAGTTTTGTCCAGATTGAAAGACGGACAAGTCCTTTTTAAGATATTTGGCATGGTAAAGATTCAATATGTTTTTGATTATGCTATTAACTTTTCTGTACAAAGAAGCACATAAATGGTTATATAATATTAAACATGAACAGTGTCATGTGATAGATATATTATATAAATATTAGTTTATATAACCAATACCAACGTCCTTGCTGCTTGTATAAAACTAGTTATAATATAGATGTGATCATTAGGGGCATGTGTAAATATTTATATCTTGGCTTTTATTGTAATTAAATTATATTTCTATACATTAGTACCTACCTATATTCTAGTACAGTAATTTGCTAGAAAAAATGTTATAATTAGGGGCATGTGTAAATGTTTAAATATTTATATCTTTGCTTTTATTTTAATTAAATTATATTTCTGTATATTAGTACCTAACCTATATTATTCTAGTACAGTAATTTGCTAGAAAAAAAGTTGTTTTTATACCACATATAGTAAATTGTAAATATATAAAGTTCATTAGGTAGATAAACAGTGTAGCCTCTAAAGAGCAACATCTTTATGGCAGAGAAAAAGTTTAGTTCTTGTTGAGAAGTTGCTTTTGGGAAGTTTTAGGTAGTCTTACTGTAATGCTTTCCCCGCCAAATAATTCTACCATTAGCCAATGTAGTAGCAAATCGGTTATATCCGGAACGTTATTTTTTTAAAAAATCTTTGGCATTAGATTATTTACAATCATTCATCCTTTATCATTAATGTACTAAATTCTGGTTAAAAACCGTTAAAAATTATTGAATACCACAGATTTTAAAAAAATAACATTCCTGAAATGACGGATATATTACGATATTGACCAATTTTTTAGTGGAAAAACATTACAGTAAGACTACCTTAAATCTATTGTGATATTTGGGAAGAATCATTTTGTTGAAAAAAGGTTATTGCTTTACGGAGGGCCACTCTGCAGGGGTTGCATTGTAGTTTAAATACCTCGTACAAAGACCTAATTTATTATAATTTAATTTGAGAAAATTCTAGAGATATTTGATATATATATAAACATATATATATAAGTTAAAAATTTAATGAAGATTCTCACAGTTGAAAATGTGGCACTATTTTTGTAGAGTACTTGCTGAGTGAGTGAGTTTAATTATTTCAACAGAAACCAGAATTTATTTTGCTAACATTTATCTAGAAATTTTATTATATTTATCATAATAAGAGTTAGTTTAAATATCCTTTTAATAAATGATTAATTACATTAGATTTAGATTGATCACTTAGGTGTAATTGCTAATTTCAGGTAATTTATCTCTCACAATAATTATTGTGGGTTTAAATTTCATTAGGGACAACTTCATCATATTTGTAATGTTTAAGTTAAGCTTAACTAAACTTAAAAGTTGCCATACCACAATGCAACTTATCATGTATTGCTCTGAGAAACAAGTCACTTTTAATGACGTTACTCTGAGAAACAATTAAATGTTAATAACATTTTTCTGAGAAACAATTAAATGTCATGATATTTCTCTGAGAAAAAATTAAACATTAATGGCACTGCTCTGAGAAACAGTTATGTAAATGTTTAATTTTTATATCAGTTATAATAATTTTTAAATTCCTAACACGATGAATAATAATTATCACAGTTAAAATTTCAAAAAATGAAAGAAAAAAGATTTTCATTAGACTGTCACCATATTTTATATTGAAATTTGAGAGATGTTATATGAGCATGATAGAATTTAAAGGAACTGATCATTCGGTTTCAAGTATAAAAAAGGAATTTTCTATTTTTACTACAAATTTTTGTGTGTGTAACTATCAGCGAATAAAATTCTTGTTGTTTTTTTTCTCCAAAACTTGTTAATAATCAGAAATACTGAAAGTTTGCCTTAATTTCTCTTCTTAAATGAAATGTATAAAAAAATCTGGAGGTACATGTTTTAAAGTTTTGAAACTTTTTTTTTATTTGTAAATTTCTAAATTTTTTCACTATACATTAGACATAATGAAGTCAATTATTTAACAATTAATATCCACTTGTATATCTACAAAAATTAAGAGAAAAAGTAAATTTGAAAACATAAGGTTTCCCCATTTGGAATATTAGGTAAATTGTTTTATCTATTCAGATGATAGTATGTAGAAATTATTTAGAAAAATACTCTGTTTTGCCATTTAAACTATTTAAAAGTCGTAGAATTTTAGAACTAAACATGGAAACTAAAAATTATGGAAGGTACCTTTAACATGATATATTATTATCTGTATAACTCTTTTAATTATAGCTACTTAGATTTGCTCCCTACAGTTCAGTAAATTATGGTGTACCATTCTACCTTTTTATGCTTTTTTTTCTTCTAAAATTGCTTTATTTATTGGGTATAGAGTTGAAAAAGACATAGTACATGTAGGCGGCAGGTAAACATTTCAATATAAAGCTATTGTCAATGCACAGGTAGCAAAGAATTTCTTACACAAACTTTTCTCTTTGCCTATTTTCTTGTCTTTTTGCTTAATGCATTTTCTAAATAAATTGACTTGTGTGATTATCAGAGGTTTGTGACCAGTCTGGAAGTGAAGCTCAGTCATTGGTCAATTTTAAAACTGTGCTCGGATTCAACTAATCAAATTACAGATATTAAGACTGGTCTTTAATGTTGACTTTTATTATCTTGTCCAAAGAAGTATAAATGAAAATATTTACCTTTGAAGCGTTGGAATATTTTATTCTATTTATAGCATTAATGGGTTATCAGTTTTACTTACTTCTTTTTGGCAGACTATTTTAACTGTTTGGTATTGTTTTTTTCTTCTTCTCAACTATATTATAATTATAAGACTACAATCACTCATAGGGTTAAAGAATATTTTTACAAAGTGAAGCAATTTGTTTTGACAGTTTTGAATTTCAATTCTTTATTTTTATTTCATCTATGGCTTTTTAGCTCACCTGTCACAAAGTGACAGGGTGAGCTTTTGTGATCGCTTTTCGTCCGGCGTCCGTCCGGCGTCCGTCGTCCGTCCGTCGTCCGTAAACTTTTACTTTAAATGACATCTCCTCATAAACCACAAGGCCAATTTCATCCAAACTTCACAGGAATGTTCCTTTGGTGGTCACCTTTAAAAATTGTTCAAAGAATTTAATTCCATGCAGAACTCTGGTTGCCATGGCAACCGAAAGAAAAAAACTTTAAATATCTTCTTTTAAAAAACCATAAGAGCTAGAGCTTAGATATTTGGCATGAAACATCTTCTAGTGAGTGTCTACCAAGTTTGTTCAAATAAAAGCCCTGGGGTCAAAATTGGCCCCGCCCCGGGGGGTCATTGATTTTCCCTATATGCATATAGTAAAAACTTAAAAATCTTCTTTTAAAGAACTCAAAGAGCTATGGCTAAGATATTGAGCATCAAACATGTTCTAATAGGTGTCTACCAAGTTTGTTCAAAGAAAAGCCCTGGGGTCAAAATTGGCCCCGCCCCAGGGGGTCATTGATTTTCCCTATATGCATATAGTAAAAACTTAAAAAATCTTCTTTTAAAGAACCAAAAGAGTTAGAGCTAAGATATTTAGCATGAAACATGTTCTAATAAGTGTCTACCAAGTTTGTTCAAGTAAAAGCCCTGGGATCAAAATTGACCCCGCCCCGGGGGGTCATTGATTTTCCTATTATATGCATATAGTAATAACTTTAAAAATCTTCTTTTAAAGAACTCAAAGAGCTATGGTTAAGATATTTAGCATCAAACATGTTCTAATAGGTGTCTACCAAGTTTGTTCAAATAAAAGCCCTGGGGTCAAAATTGGCCCCGCCCCGGGGTTCATTGATTTTCCTTATATGTGTATAGCAAAAACTTAAAAAATCTTTTTTGAAAAAAAAACCCAAATAGCTAGAGTTAAGATATTAAGCATGAAACATCTTTTAGTGAGTGTCTACAAAGTTTGTTCAAATAAAAGCCCTGGGGTCAAAATTGGCCCCGCCCCGGGGTCATTGATTTTCCTTATATGTGTATAGCAAAAACTTAAAATCTTCTTTGAAAAAACCCAAATAGCTAGAGTTTAGATATTAAGCATGAAACATATTCTAGTAAGTGTCTACAAAGTTTGTTCAAATAAAAACCCTGGGGTCATAACTAGCCCGGCCCCAGGGGTGTCATTGTTTTTAACTATATGTGTATAGTAAAAACTTTAAAAAAATCTTCTTTTAAATAGCCCAATGAGCTAGAGCTTAGATGTTTAGCATGAAACATCTTCTTATGGGTGTCTACCAAGTTTGTGCAAATAAAAGCCCTTTGGTTAAATTGGCCCTGCAACGTTTGGGGGGGGGGTTGGGGGGGCCTATATACAGGTGAGCGACCTCAGGGCCATCATGGCCCTCTTGTTATTTATTGTTTGTTCACCGACATATATTTTTCTTTTTACTTTTACTAATATTATGCTCCTGTTGCTGCATTTTTCTGAAAACTTTAGTTTGAGTATTTATGACTTGTATACAAATATAAGTCTACTTTCACATTTAAATTAACTATAGTTTATGAAGTTGGAACATTTTATTTACAATTTAAAACTTAAGTAATTGTAAATGTTAAAGCACTGAGTAGCCACAATTTTTATGCCCCCGCCATGTAATGGCCGGGGCATATAGTGTTACCCTGTTCCGTCCTTCCGTCATTCCGTCATTCCGTCCTTCCGTCATTCTGTCATTCCGTCATCATCAGTTTCCGTTCATTATCTTAGTAATGGTTGCACATATTCAACTCAAATTTGACATATGGATATGTCATGAGAAAATACAGGTCAAGTTCGAATTTGGTCATGGTTCGATGATTTTTGGCAGAGTTATGCCCCTTTTACTTTGAAAATAATATGAAATTTTCAGTTTTCATTCATTATCTCCCCAACGGTACAACACATTCAACTCAAATTTGATATATGGATATGTCATGAGAAAATACAGGTCAAGTTTGAATTTGGTAATGGTTCGATGATTTTTGGCAGAGTTATGCCCCTTTTACTTTGAAAATAATATGAAATAATATGAAATTTTCAGTTTCCGTTCATTATCTCCCCAACGGTACAACATATTCAATTCAAATTTGATATATGGATATGTCATGAGAAAATACAGGTCAAGTTTGAATTTGGTCATGGTTCGATGATTTTTGGCAGAGTTATGCTCCTTTTACTTTGAAAATAATATGAAATTTTCAGTTTCTGTTTATTATCTCCCCAACAGTACAACACATTCAACTCAAATTTGATATATGGATATGTTTTTGGAATGCCCAAGCCCAGTTCGAATTTGTTCATTGTTCAATGATTTTTGGCAGAGTAATGCCCCTTTCACTTTGAAATTAATATGAAATTTACAGTTTCTGTTCATTATCTACCCAACAGTGTTACATATTCAACATAAATTTGACATATGGATATGTCAAAGGAATGGGCAGGTCAAGTTGGAATTTGGTCATGGTTCGATGATTTTTTTGGCAGAGTTATGTCCCTTTTACTTTGAAAATAATATAGATACATCTTAGGAATAAGCAGTTTAAGTTTGAATTTGGTCGTGGTTCAATGATTTTGGACAAACTTATCTTTCTTGAATATTGGAAAAATTTTGAACTTTCAGTTTCAGCACTCCTACTTTTGTGGAAATGTATGTAGCCATTATTTTGGCTACAAATATGAAATATGCTATTTTCAAAAGGTTAAGACTGAATAATTTCAGTGCCTTGAACATTGTATGGAAATGGTTTGTGTTAACATTGAAAAGTTTTAAGGGCTTTGAACTTAAAATGAAAACAATAATTTGTGCAAACAAATTTCGAACTAAATATTATAACATCTGAAATTTTGGCTGCATGCGGGGGCATCCGTGGCATGATGACACATTTCTAGTTTATTTCTACCTTATATGTATGTACGTATGACAAATCAGAAGTGAAGTAGGAGTTTTAAATATCCGTTCAAAATTTGGTGTAATTGGCTTCAACACAGTCTTGCATTAGGGTTTTGAAACAGTTCATTATAAATTCAATAGTATCATTTTGTGAAAATATGAGATATGTTGGCCAACAGTTTAAAATGGCGGCCAGGTTTTTATAATTGTGGCATAGGTTCTAAGCGTGACGACTTGTTAGCAAGCCAAAAGAGGCGAAAATTAAGATTTAAAATTAAGAAAAAATTCTTTCCCAAAAGTTGATATGTATTTTTTAACCAATTCAATAAAACATAATTATTTGAGCTATTATTTAAGATCCAAGATCTATTAATATCTATTATTCGCATTATTAATGTTATGTTTCTATTCTGTTAACCAAGTAGACATTTATATTTTCTTTTTAAGTTCTCTAGATGTTATATTAATTCGTATATTTTGATTATCTATCCGTTAAAACAAGAGGATGGTTTAGTTTCCACTATTGTTTGGTTTATTTAGAAAAATATAAGAAATGGTGCCGATGGTAAGTATGCAGACATTGACCAAGTTTCGTCATAGTTTACGTAGTAAACCATTTGACCCGCGTCATGACAAAACCAACATAATGGGTTTGCGACCAGCATGGACCCAGACCAGCCTGCGCATTGGTGCAGTCTGATCAGGATCCATGCTGTTCGCTATCAGTTTCTCTACTTGTAATAGAGTTTGTAAGCGAACAGCATAGATCCTGATCAGACTGCGTGAATGCGCAGGCTGGTCTGGATCCATGCTGGTCACAAACCTATTATGTGGGTTTTGTCATGACGCGGCTCAATTTAGTTGATTATTGTTTCCATTACTTTGTTATGTAAATGAAGATGTTATACCATGGTAGTTTGAAATTGTTCAAGAAATATTGTGTGATGTTGTAGGAGAACATGTATATTGTTGTGACATTGTAGTTAATTAAATCATATAATTAAATCTTACGTTGTTTTAAAGATGGTGCCAAACAAGTTTAATGTTATATGTCCTTCATATAGTTACGTATTTGTTAAGAAAGTTTGCGTTTGCATTGTTTAGAAACTTTTAATGATAGGACATATTACCACTTCATTTTAAAAATTGACTTGAATTGAATTTTCTCTGCAGTTCTTAAAGAATTAGTCTTTAAGTAAATTTTCATATTACAGAATAAATGTTTGAACTAAAATAAGGGCTTATCAAGTCATGTCTTCATATTAAAGAAATAGTAGAGGAAAGAAAAGTTACAAGGAACTGAAATGATTTCTATATGATGCTTTGTATGATGTTGATTTTTATTATTAATTACCTTATTTAACTGTCAGGGTTTGACCTAATTTTCTTTTCAGTTTTATTTTAGTTTTTTTGAGAAATTTCTGGTAAAAAGTATGCATTTGATTTTTCTATCCATAGCATAATAAGTGTAAAAAAAGTTGATTGCATATTAAGAATGATTGTTAGTGACTATATATGTTATTTAATGGATGTTATATATGGTAATGTTTGGTATGTTTACAGACCAGGCCTGAATGCTGATATTGTGATCAGTCATAAAGAACCTGTCACTGGATGTATGTACAACCCAAGCTTTAAACAGGTCATCACATGCTCCGAGAGTTCTGTAAGTCTTATTATCATCTTGAACAAGGGGCATAACCCATTAATCGCATGCTTTGTAGTGCTTGTAATATAAAAAGGGCAGAGTAGGACTAATGCATTTATCATGCAGTTGTGAACATTTGGCCTGTCATTCAATTATCTGCATATCATAAATATAACATAAGCTACACATTTTGCTAGAAGCAAGAAATCTTCTTGACATCTCAATGATTGAACTAAAGGAGCTCCACTGTGAAGTCATTATAAAAGCGTAAAAAAACATAAAATTTGAAATTCTTACATAGATCAAGTAAAGTACTTAAAATTGAAAAATCTGCAAAGGATGATGGAGAAATATGCTCAAAATTAAATTGAAAATCATTTTTGTGTGATTTTAAGATTTCCTTTTCATTTTGGGGTAATTTTGCACTATATAAATGATAATTTTGGAAAAATTGATTTTAAATTTTGCAAACAAGATATTTTTCTAGACTTACATCTAATGGTATACAAATATCAGAAAAATATTCCTAACCCCATCATGTCAAAAAACCTCAGTGGAGTCCTTTTAATATTTAATGCTAAAAGAGAAAAAGTTAACCTCTATTTAACCAACTTAACATTGATGAAATACTGTTGTATTACTGTTGAGTTGTATTCCTTTATTCTTTTTACAATTGAATAATACATGTACATTGAAAAATCTGAAGTTTGTAAAGTCCTTGTTTTTGTGTTAATTAAGTTTTATATACACTTGTGTTTTTTATGCCTATTTTATTATTTAGGGGCAATGATATTTAACTAATAAATTTATATAAAAACTCATTCTTCTGTGTTGTTACATGTATTTAGGTAATTAAGATCTGGGACTTTGAAACTGGCACACCTATATTTGAATATGGAGAAGCACACGGGGACTCTGCCATCACATGCATGACCTTTGACAAGTGTGGAAGAAGGTAAGATAACTCCTTTGACTTATTTATTGAAATAATATAATTTTGAAAATACACAAGGGTTTGAAACTATCCAGGGAACTTAAAAATGGCCAATCAGTCTACTCAGATGTTGCTGCTTGCTTGAAATTGCTTACAGATTGGCATTTGGAGGTTTTTTTTACCAGTAAAGCTGGAAATGAGTCTATTGAAAATGACATTATCCCTTTTAAAGTGTAAATGGCAAGTATACAGGTAAAAAGCAAAATAATTGTAGATTTTACCATAACTGTTTTCAACTTTACATTTTACTATGCAAATACAATCAGTTACTTATGTGACCCACAGAAATTCCTTTCAGAATCTACTTTTATAATGATAAAAAGTGTTCGGCAGTCTTTCTGTACAATATTTAGTTAGTTTTTTTTCTTTATCCTACTCTTTTGTTTATTGATTAATGGTCAGTCCTCCATTATAATAGTCAATCTTTAAAATACTTTATTTAATTAACCTTGACTTGACAGTGAAGAAATGAGAAAAATAATGTCTCTCAAATTAAACTTGTAGATTATTTGTTTAAAGTGTTTGTATATAAATTGTTTTATATTTTAACTTGTAGATTGATCACAGGTGGTAGAGATGGTCTTATAAGAATCTGGAACTATAACAATGGACACTGTCTGAAGGTGCTACAAAAAGGTGAGTCTACAATTATCTTCAGTGAACCACAAACCAAAGCAAATATTTAAGTTTATCGTACGCATTAATAGATGGAATATATAGTGAAAAAAATACGTATTAACATGAATAACTTTGATTGAAATCGAATGTTAAGGCTAAAACCACACTAGACAATGACTTGTTAAGTTTCATGACAGTGTGAAAATCTATTTTAGACCATTACATATAAATTGGGGCATCTGAGTGGCCTTGTGGTAAAGGTCTTTGACTTCAAATCACTTGCCCCTCACTGCTGCATGTGGGTTCGATTCCCATCAGGGACTTTGGATTTTTTCATGTGAGGAACTAATCCAGCTAACTTACAGAACATCAGTGGTTTTACTCAGGTGTTCATTCTTTCCTTTTATAATTCACGGTGGGGCACCTGAGATCTTCCTCCACCAGTAAAGCTGGAAAGTCGCTTTTACTGTGTTGTTGACACATAAAAATCCACTGAAAACACAAAAATCACATTTTATTTCGTAAAAATGTCTGGACAGGCAGTTGTTACTAGTTGTAATAATAATGTTGAGTGTATGTAAGGGCAATGCTTTAATCTTAATTTGTTGGAAACAGGTGATGTTAATAAACTTTCTTAAGTTTATAAACATGAGAATTTACTGTCAGTAAACAGTGTGTACAATATACATGTAAATATATTGGAATACTGAAAATGTATTATTTCTGATTTCAACGTTCTGGGTGAAGTGATTAGTAACTGAATATGTAAAATGTTACATTTAACCAATTGATTCTTTGACTATTAACCCTCTTTTTAACTTTCTGAATGTACTAGTGGCTTAAACTCACAAATAAAGATCCAAGCCAATCTGCAGATCTGTACTGACTGATAGGCTCCATTATAAATATTGATTATAGCTGGACTGTTGAAAGAATAGTGGACCTATCATTAGTTCACCTAGGCGTGAGTGAAAAGCTATGCTTATATTTGCAACTTCTTCTTCAACATTCCTTATCAATTTTTGATTTAATGGATATTATTTTTCAAGCAGAAATCTTTAAAAAGATGCTTATTTTAATTGATATTGTACAAATGTTTGCCGCGGTGGTTTCAAAATAAACAAAAGTGCTCTTTACTTTATTGGACTTGTTAATTTTGTAAGGACGTTGTTTTATCAAAGTTTAGCATTTGTTTAAAGAATTGACACCTGTAAAGTGTTGTAGCATTAATTGACCAGTTAATTAATTTATGATATGTTTTTTAAAAATAGCCGATAAAGATGACAACAACAACAACAATGGCAATAAAGGTATATGATATGCACCACTATAAATTATGGTGAATAGTTAGTTTGTCAGTTTGTTTTGTTTTTTTTTCTCCTAGATTTAAAGCATTATCATGAATCTCATTGATGGCCAAATGATTTATTTATTTAATATACAGTTTTAAACTTCAGACAAGATTTAATGTAGTGTTTTCTTATTTGACAGCCTGATCACTATGAAATTACTAGTGCACAATTTTAAATTGTATTTTTTAGCTCGACTATGCGATAAGAATAAGTAGAGCTATTGTAGTCACCCGAGCGTCGGCGTCAGTGTCTGCGTCGGCGTAACCACTTATGTTAAAGTTTTTGTCATAGTTCAAATATTTTCAAAGTCCATTGACATATGGCTTTGAAACTTTGCACACTTGTTCACCAATATGACCCCAACCTGTAGACAGGAGGAGGTAACTCTATCAAGCATTTTGACAGAATTATGCCCCTTTTTCGACTTAGAATTTACGTTAAAGTTTTTGTAATAGTTCAAATATTTTCAAAGTCCATTGACATATGGCTTTGAAACTGCACACTTGTTCACCATCATGACCCCAACCTGTAAACAGGAGGAGGTAACTGTATCAAGCATTTTTTTTTACTATCAAGCACTAAGAATAGTCTATTTGTTATTAGTATTATAAAAATTATATATGTTTCCAAATCTGCTAGTATAATAATAATTTTTTTGTCAATGGTATAATTTTCTTTATATTTATTATCATTATTATTACTATTATTATTAATTTATTATTATTATGCTCCCCGAAAAATTTCGGGGGAGCATATAGTCGCCGCCTTGTCCGTCCGTCCGTCCGTCTTTCCGAGCTCACTGAAATGACGATGTGGGGTGAATATCCATGTTCAATCAGTAAAGAAAGGTACTTGTGAGGAAAAAGGTTGCTTATGGGGTGCAAATACGTTGCTTATGGGTTTTAGAGATCAAAGGAGATAAAAGAAAAAACCCCATAATGTCAACTCAGTAGGAACGGCCGTCCGTCCGTCCGTCCCCTTTTCTTGTCCGGGACATAACTTTGAAACAACAAGAGGTATCAACATGAAACTTTGTAGGTAGATAGATCTCATTGAGTAGGTGTGCAGTGCATAAGAACTGTAACTCTGCCTTGCCTAATTTTTTTATTATCCCCCTTTGTTTATTTTACACTTAGAACTTTGTCCGGGACATAACTCTAAAAGTATAAGAGGTATCAACATGAAACTTTGTAGGTAGATAGATCTCATTGAGTAGGTGTGCAGTGCACAAGGAACATAACTCTGCCTTGCCTAATTTTTGAATTATCCCCCTTTGTTTATTTTACACTTTGAAATTTGTCTGGGACATAACTCTAAAACTATAAGAGGTATCAACATGAAACTTTGTAGGTAGATAGATCTCATTGAGTAGGTGTGCAGTGCACAAGAACCGTAACTCTGCCTTGCCTAATTTTTGAATTATCCCCCTTTGTTTATTTTACACTTTGAACTTTGTCCAGGACATAAGTCTAAAACTATAATAGGTATCAACATGAAACTTTGTAGGTAGATAGATCTCATTGAATAGGTGTGCAGTGAACCATAACCTTAACTCTGCCTTGCCTAATTTTTGAATTATCCCCCTTTGTTTATTTTTACACTTTGAACTTTGTCCGGGACATAGCTCTAAATGTATAAGAGATATCATCATGAAACTTTGTAGGTAGATAGATCTCATTGAGTAAGTTTGCAGTGCACAAGAACTGTAACACTGTCTTGCCTACTTTTGGAGTTAATGCCCTTTGTTCATTTTGACACTTTGAACTTTGTCCGGGATATTACTCTAAAATTATAAGAGATATCAACATGAAACTTTGTAGATAGATAGGTCTCATTGGGTGGAAGTGCAGTGCTTAAGAATCATTACTCTGCCTTGCCTTATTTTGAAGTAATTGCCCTTTGTTTATTTTTACTTTTTGACTAAACTATTAGAGATATCAACATGAAACTTTGTAGGTAGCTAGATATAATTGGATAGAACTGCAATGCTTAAAGAACCTAAACAAAGCCTGGTCTAATTTTGGAGTTATTGCCCTTTGTTCATTTTTACACTTTGAATTTTACCCGGGACATAACTATGATATCATCAGGAAACTTAATAGATAGATAGATCTCATTGAATAGAAGTGCAGTGCAAAAAAACATAACTCCGCTTTGCCTAATTTTGGAGTTTTTACCCTTTGTTCATTTTTTTATACTTTCCTGTGTCCAGAACCTTCTCTGGGAGCATCACCGGGTTCAACCGGTCCTTGTTATTATTATTATTATTATTATTATTATTATAGAAAAGCTGTCCATATGGCAAATACGCCAAAAATAACAGGGACAGCATAAGCCATCCCTATGGCAGTAAAAGGGTTAAAGGTGTCTGTTTACATCTGCATAAGTCCACATAGTACCTAAGGCCTGTCTTTTCAACTGATATTGGAAGGCTGCCACATGACTGTAACAATGATTGTCTGGCTTAAAGTCATGCCACAGAATTGAAATTTGAAGTGTTACACATTGACACATTGTCTTTATTGAGATTTCGTTATTCATTTAAAATTTTTGACTGTTTTACTTTTCTTTAAAGCTATTTTTCACAACACAGTATCAGTAATAGCTCTTAATTATAATTAATGTGTTATGAACAATACAATTTTTGTGTTCTTTATTCTGGTAAGTTCTTGTTTAAATGCAACCCTAAATATAGGACGTGATATAATAAGAATCTAAGGATTGTCTTTTTGAAAATGTTTGATTTATTGGTTAATTCATTATATTATTAAAATTGTATTTCCCTATTATTTTTAGAGAAAGAAAAGGAAACTGACGAAGGTAATTTAAAACAAATGGCAGTAATGTAATAACAATGTGGTAATGTTATGACAACAACTTGTAATGACATGATGGTGTTATAAGAATAATGGTTGTTGACTGTAATAACATAATAGCATGGTGATATTGTTAAAGAATTAATGTACTGTGATGACACGATGGTGTTATAAGAATAATGGTTGTTGACTGTAATAACATAATTGCATGGTAATTAAGTGTAACATCATGGTGACAATTCATTAGTAATAAAAGAATGACTGTAATATTATAAGTAATTATGTTGAAGTTACTGAAACAATATCATACAATAATATGATGATATTGTGGTGTAACAAGGTTGACTGACTAGGATAACTGTAACAACTTAAATTAATGTTGTTATTCCAAAGATGGCAGTAATAACAAGAAGTTTTAATATGACTGTAAATGGTTGAAATAACATGATAAATACAGTGATGATATTCTTTCATGATGTTATTAAAATGGTTTTTATAACATGATAAATGTGGTGATGATATTCTATCATGATGTTATTAAAATGGTTGTAATAACAAGATAAATGTGGTGATGATATTCTATCATGATGTTATTAAAATGGTTGTAATAACATGATAAATGTGGTGATGATATTCTATCATGATGTTATTAAAATGGTTGTAATAACATGATAAATGTGGTGATGATATTCTATCATGATGTTATTAAAATGGTTGTAATAACATGATAAATGTGGTGATGATATTCTATCTTGATGTTATTAAAATGGTTGTAATAACATGATAAATGTGGTGGTGATATTCTATCATGATGTTATTAAAATGGTTGTAATAACATGATAAATGTGGTGGTGATATTCTATCATGATGTTATTAAAATGGTTGTAATAACATGATAAATGTGGTGATGATATTCTATCATGATGTTATTAAAATGGTTGTAATAACATGATAAATGTGGTGATGATATTCTATCATGATGTTATTAAAATGGTTGCAATAACAAGATAAATGTGGTGATGATATTCTATCATGATGTTATTAAAATGGTTGTAATAACATGATAAATTTGGTGGTGATATTCTATCATGATGTTATTAAAATGGTTGTAATAATAAGATAAATGTGGTGATGATATTCTACCATGATGTTATTAAAATGGTTGTAATAACATGATAAATATGGCGATGATATTCTATCATGGAGTTATTAAAATGGTTGTTATAACAAGATTGATGTGGTGATGATATTCTACCATGATGATATTGAAATGGTTGTAATAATAATCAATGTAGTGTTGATATAAAAATGACTGTAAAAGCTTTATCACTATGGTGGTGATAATATATTTAGGAGGACTGTTAAGATATGGTTTAATTTTGTCAATATACTCAAGATATTATTTGAATTGAATAGAAGGATTATCCGACAAGTTTTTTAACATAAAACTTTAGATTATTACTTGTTGCTTTGTATAAAAAACTATGCTATCTTAATAAAGTGGAGTAAAGTCATAATAAAATATGTTATTTATAGAATTATTAAAAGTAATATTCATTTTGATCTGACCTTAGTAATATTAATAAAATGCATGTTGATATTTTTCAAAAAAATTTTTTAAAGTTTAACACTGTGTTATATTTAATGGTGACGAAGCCTTAACTTTTAAATTATTTACATTTGTAATTTTCTTAATTTATTAATTACAACAGGAGGGCAGTGATATTTACTGTATTTGTATGTTTTATACATACTGTAGAAAGAAGTATTGAAGATATAAGGATGATACGTAGAATTCGTAATAAAGGACGGAGTAAATCTTTTGCTAATTTCTTCCTAACAAGTGTTCCAGAAGGTAAATCTATGCACTAAGTACATTAGTCAAATGACTGATAGAAAAAATAAGATTTTCATACATAATGGAAGTAAAATTGGTCATTTTAATTGGCAAATATTTTATCTTAAATGTAGGTAGACAAGTATTTCAAATCATAAGATTGATTATATTCAGTGACAACATTATTTCATTTAAACAAAAGATAAAGATAAGTTTTACTGTAAGTATTTATAAGAAATTACAATAATTATATTTTTTTCTTAGATTGACATTGAAGACAGAAATATAACTTTAAATGTAAAAATACTTTATAAGAAATTATTAAATATTTCTTAGATTGATATTGAAGACAAAAATAAATCTATTTTCTTTAAGTTGACAATGATGTAAAATTACCTAAGAAAGAAGTGCGACCAGTTATAGGTAAAAACAGCACAATACACCAAATTTATTATTGAATAGATCTTGTGTTTATGTTACAGTAGGTGGTAGCTGCAGCACTTTGTGAAGTCAGTCTTACCCTGTACCAAATGTTACGCCCGGAATTGGGGCGAAATTTCGGCACGGATTACGCCCAGAAAGTTAAAATTCCTTTAAAATTTTCAGTATATGATAAGGGTTCATTTTACGGGCGGATTCTGGGCGGAAATGGCACGGAATTTGGCACGAAATATGTAAATGAGCAGGAAAAATGTCAGTGCAAAATTTTAAACGTAATTTTTGGGATGTAATTCTTGGCACGTAATTTAGGCTGAAATGGCATGGAATCTGGCATGAAATATGAAAATGAGAAGGAAAAAGTATGTGCAGATAAATTTGAAAATATTATGAAAAAATAAGTTTATCTGAGAAAAAAAAATACAACAGTAATAAAAAATAACAAGTTATTAATTACAAAAAAAAAAAAAAAAAAAAATTACAGTGTAGTGATAAGTAATAATCTGTTAATTATATATATATACAAAGAAACAATTTCACTACAACTAATTTCACTACAACTATCATTGTCTCAAATTTCAATGTCTCTAAACAGTAAAATAAAAAACTAAATCACTATATTACCATATGTCGGCAAAAAGTGTAAAAATCAAAAGATAAGCAATGAGTAACATTTTGGCAACAATAAAAGGATACCAAAAAATAAAAAGCTTTTTGGGAAAAAAAAGCATGTCTTTGGATTAATGTGCCTTTAAAGTAATAAAATTGTAACAAAATTAGTATAAGATTAAACTCTACCTCTTTCTTCCATTTCCATACAGTTATTTTATATTTAGGTAACCAGAATGACATATTATGATGCTTTATTTATGAATATTGTTCTGTTTGAACACTGATGTATTATATGTATATATTTTACACTGTTTTTAAGATAGAAAAGTGTGTACACACCAGTTGACATAGGAAAGAAATGTGTGGTTTTTAACTTTTTATGAATATTTTATTTTTCTGAGGAATGAAAGGTGCATTTATACAAAGGAATGGTAAAGATAGAAAATAATTGTTTTCTTTTTTATTTCACACTGGTTTAGAGAGCAGCTTGTGTGTACATATAAAATTAGAATTCTCAATATATAACGGTGTGTGTGCTTTTTACACTGGTGAACAAACAAATAAACAGTATATTTTGCACAGTATGGGTAAGACAAAAAAAAATGTTTTCATGAAGGTATAATTTGCACCAAAGAAAAGTATGTTGATAGATAATCTATGGCTGGCGAGGATAAGGTGAAAAATTGTGTACATCATTATTTATCTTATACAGGTTCAGACAAAAACAAATAGTATTTGCATGTAAATTTTATGTTAACAGAAACATAATAAACATTTGTGTCATTTGCTTGGCCTAATCACAAAGGAGATACAGGTAATGGGTTATTATAGATGATAAATTGGCTATGATTTTGAAATTTATTGTATTTTATATTTTTGTATATTTACAGAGGAAGAAAATGAAGAGATCTGTGATTTATCATACGTTGAAATGAACCGTAATCGTTACATAGTTGGTGTAGGTTGGGATCGACGAATCAACATATACAGTGACGACCTGGCAGACAGCAATATACATCATATACAACATCCTCTACCCAACTGGCAAGATGATATTGTAAGTTAATATACATAGTCCGATATTTACAGTCAAACATGCAGCTCTTGTTTTTCTTTTATAAAGTTTCACATATATTAGTCCTCATTCTTCTTTGATTTAGTTTCACATTTTAGTCCTTGTTTTTCTTTGATATATTTTTACATTTTACTATGATTATAGCCCTTGTTCTTCTTTGATAAATTTCACATATGCTGCTTGTTCTTCTCTGACATAGTTTCACACATATAGTCCCTGTTCATCTTTAACATAGTTTCACACATATTGCCCTTGTTCTTCTTTGACATAGTTTCACATATATAGTCCCTGTTCATCTTTGACATAGTTTCACATATATAGTCCCTGTTCATCTTTGACATAGTTTCACACATATTGCCCTTGTTCTTCTTTGACATAGTTTCACATATATTTGTCCTTGTTCTTCTTTGACATAGTTTCACACATAGTGTCCTTGTTCTTTTTTGACATAGTTTCACACATATTGTCCTTGTTCTTTTTGACATAGTCTCACACATATAGCACTTGTTATTCTTTGACAAAGTTTCACATATTGTCTTTGTTCTTTTTTGACATAGTTTCACTTATATAGTCCTTGTCCTTCTTTGACATAGTTTCACATATATTTGACCTTGTTTTTCTTTGATATAGTTTTACATATAGTCCTTTTTCTTCTTTGACATAGCTTCACAGAAAGTCCTCATTCTCCCAATGATACAGATTCACATATAGTCTTGGTTCTTCTCAAATTTGACATAATAGTATATGGTCCTTGCTTTTCTTTGATAAAGTTTCACATATATAGTTCTTGCTTTTCTTTGAAAAAGTTTCTCATACATGTATATAGTTCTTGCTTTTCTTTGATAAATTTTCACATACATGTATATAGTTCTTGCTTTTCTTTGATAAATTTTCACATATATAGTTCTTGCTTTTCTTTGATAAATTTTCACATATATAGTTCTTGCTTTTCTTTGATATTGAGTTTCACATATATAGTTCTGGCTTTTCTTTGATATAGTTTCACATATAAAATTCTTGGTTTTCTTTGATATATTCACCCTGTCAGACAGTTTTTGTGTTTATATAAAATGAAAAATAAAACTTTTACTGTCATTCACCAAATCTCCTGCTCTATTTATTGAAATATTATACCATTGGTTATAACAAGTTAATATCTAACTGTATTCATATTCAAAGATACTCATAATTTCTTAAATATTCTGTCATTGAAGACTTAATTTAGAGACTAAATGCAACATTATTTGCTTGTTATTTGTAGAACCGAGGACATAAAGAGGATATACTGTCAGTAGCTCAGTGTCCACCTAATCTTCTAGCCACAGCTAGCTATGATGGACAGGTGATTGTTTGGAACATGGTCTCGGGACATATATTTGCTCATTTAAAAGCTCCTAAGCCTCCAGAGTACCAAGATCAATCATGTAAGTAGACTGTGTAACAAATTTCATTTCAAGTTGAATATTTTTGTTTGTGCAAGATGTCAAGCAGTCCAATATAAAGTTACTGCAATTTTTCATATATGAAATTCTGCATTTTAATATATGACTTAACTGAGTATGAATAAAGTCAAAAGTAAATTTCATATGAATTAAGATAAAGCAATCATTCTGTTTTAATTCTTCTCCTTTAGGACATGGTAAAAGAAGAAAACAAAATTTAATATTTCTCTGTGAATTATTTTAGGCAGAACAGAACAATTACCTTACTATGTTATATCTGCTGTTATTAAACAAGCAAGCTGAAAAACCTCCTCACATTATAGAGTTCAGTGTCAAAGAAAGGGGGTTTTCATTGAGAGTCAAACAGATTTCTGTCAGAATTTAACCATTTGTCATGACTTTATCAATAAACAACACTATGGATTGTCTATATTTTATAAAAGCTTACAATTTTTGTAATTTAAGTGGATGGAGACTTGAGTATTAACAAACTGGTGTTCATGCAGAGCCGTGCCTACAAGAAAGATGCAGCCACTCTAATATCAAGTGGTCCACGGGCACATATACACTTCTGGAATGTATTTCAAGGGGGACAACTGATGGCACAGTTTCCAGGGGTGGGTAGTTTGATCATAGATAATTTGAATGGCATATATTTTTGGAAGAAAAACTTGTGTGATTGTCACAGTTTGAACATTAAAAACAAGAAAAAGTTGATTATTTCACAGTTAATATTTTCATTTAGTATACAAAAGCATTTTTCACAGTTGATCCACTGTTATTTTTTTCTGCAACTGCTTATTTTATTTAGGATGAGAAATTTTGTCTTCTTTTTTAAAAGAAGATCATTCATTAGCAACAACGGAATGATTATTAACATATATTTTAATTTTATACCACTTTTTTTTCAGTCAAATTCTAAAGGTGCAATGGTGAGTGTATTGGATGTTAACAAGGCAAACACTGTGCTGTTCTCTGGGGACAGTTATGGATTCATTTATCTTTGGAATGTAGATGGATACTGCCTTAAACATAAAGAGCAAGAGAGTCCTGAAGGTTGGTCTCTTGAAATTACCATTCTAAAACTTTGCCTATAATGGCTGCATCAACCATTCAAGTAATTTATGTGTATAAACCATTCTAGTGTTGTACCTGCATCAACAATTCTAGTAATTTACCTGCATCAACTATTCAAGTTATTTACTGTATCAACCATTCAAGTTATTTACCTGCATCAACCATTCTAGTAATTTACCTGTGTCAACTATTCTAGTAATTTACCTGTATTTACCTACCATTCTTGTGATTTTCCTGAATTAACCATTCTAGTAATTGACCTGACTGTCAACAAATTTCTTAATTTTCCCTGTATCAATCATTCTAGCAATTTACATGTATAAACCATACTATTGTACCTGTCTCAATGATTCTAGTAATTAACCTGTATCAACTATTCTTGTGCTGTTCCTGTATCAACAGTTCTTGTGATTTCCCTAAACTAACCATTCTAGTAATTTACCTGTATCAATCATTCTAGTAATTTACCTGTATCAATCATTCTAGTAATTTACCTGTATCAACCATTCTAGTAATTTACCTGTATCAACCATTCTAGTAATTTACCTGTATCAACCGTCCTTGTGTTTCGCTGAATTAACCATTCTAGTAATTCAATGATGTCATCAAATCTAGTATTTTCCTGTATTTATCATAGTGTAATTCTCATAAAATTATGAGAAATGTCATAAAAGACACAAAGGTAGCTTTACCAATGGTAACTTAAGATTGCATGTTTTGGTTATAAGTTCAAGAACTAGTTAAAAACTTCAGGATTAGAGAATCATTGTCTTCTACTATCTTTAAAAAGATAAAAACAAGCACTGCTCCTCTAGCAGGTTTGCCCATTTAGGTTGTCATTGGTGACTAAATTTAATCATGATTTATATTGGTACTTTTATTTTCAGTGTTAGTTACATGGAGGGGTCATGTGAAAAGTGTCACATCTCTTGCTCTAGTTGAAGAACACAAGCTGTTAATAAGTGCTTCCGTAGATTGTACAGTTAGAATGTGGAACATGGAGGGACATTATATTGGTATGTAACTGTTTAATGTTATCCGTGGCCAAGTGGCTTTGATTGCAGACTTTAAATCATTTGCCCTGCACCAATGTGGGTTCAATTCCCAACAGTGACTTTGGATTCTTTCCTTTGAGGAAGATATCCAGATAGCTTAAGGAAAGCCAGCGGTTTTACTCACGTCTCATGCCCGAAATAATACATAAAGGGGCTGCTCCAGTCTTTCTCCCCCTGTAAAGCTTGAAAGATTGTCACCATATGACCTTAAATGTGTGGATGTGAGTTAAAATCAAACAGATTCTTTATCATTATTTTAAACAATTCATTTTACAAGTAATAATTTTTAAACAATTCATTACAAGTAACAATTTATCAGTGAATACCAGTATAAAGACTGAACACAACTAAACATATTTTATAGTCCCTCTCTTTTCTGAACAAATATACAGTAAACTTTTTTTGATATATTGAAAAAATGATTGAATATCATTTTAGCAATGACTGGTAAATCATCACTACATCTTTGTAGCTGCTTATTGTCGTTTTCTTGTTTTTCTGTTATTTAAGGTACTTTTGGCCAGCCAGATGCCTGGGACATTTACAACCAGTCACTATGGCAACACCCAATGGTTCCCTATGATGTACTGATTGATCCCATGAGTTTACCAGATCATCCGGTTGTTGCGGAAAAGCAGACCATGCAGCAAATTATCCATGAAGACATGGCTAAGAAAGCTGAAACTGAAAATGTAAGTATAACTATAAATGAGAATGATTTAGACATGTTTGTGTAATCTTTATTGTACCTCTTTTATATCATGGACTTTTGACTGAACACTTTGAGTTCAAAGTGTTCACTAGCTGAGTTAAAGGACTCAAATAAAAAAAAATGCTGGAAACAAATTCATTACTTTTTATGACAGTGAGCGTTGATATTGTTACAGAATCGGAAGATAATGTCTACAAAATCGATAGATAACTGTCTATATACTAACTCTGTGCTGTGTTTGTAAGTCTAAGCAGAGACAATAGATAACATTATTATCTACATTTCTGGTCTAAGATTGTTAATAATGCATGGTCACTAACCTTGAACCACTAGCCTCTATATGGCTTTCAGTTTGAAACAATATGTTTCAAACTTTCAACCCCCCCCCCCCCCTCCCCTTTTAAGCCTCAAATAGTGAAAAATGTCCTATTTGGGCCCTAAACACATGTTTTCGTTTGAAAAATGTTGCTAAAAAAGTGAGCACTTTTTCGGCGCGGCCCCCCCATCCAAAAGATACATCAGGGGTTGCCAGAAGGGTGATGTGCCCCCTTCTGTTTGGGGGTTTTGAATGGGGCGGTAGTCCCCCTCATCGCCAAGAAAGTTTGGACTTGTGAGAGGTTAAAAATGGCCCCAGGTCTATCCTAGGGTAACGTGTAACCAACGCTGAAAAGCATTTGACTCTATCTCAATCCCTTGAGAAGTTGCAGCACTTTGAAATAAATTTTGATGGAAAAAAATCAAGACAAAATAGTAATTTTGGCAATTTTTAGATGTCCCCTCGTTGCCATGGTAACAGGAAATTTAAATTGAGCATGTTGTTACAATGACAATGGTCTAGTCAACATTTGTGCCAAGTTTGATTAGTATCGAAGCATTTTACATAGTTTCATGGCAGTTTGAACTTTTGAACAGGAGGCTTTTCAATGAAAACGACCATTTTTCACAATATGCTCATGAGGGAAAGGGTTAATATTTTACATTCTTTATTGTGTAGAATATATGGGGTAAACTCAGATATCTGAGATTTTTGGACAAAGCATGCAAATTGTATTATGCAGGGAGGGTATAAGAACGGCAAGTTTGTTGTTGCTATATGACATATTGTTTCAAGCCCTCAAGACTTATAGTGATAGTCAATTTTGTAAATAATTTTACTCATAGAAGCAATATAAAATGCAAATTTTCTGTTTTTATATTGCAGGGTCCGAGAACTCCTACTCCACCCATAGTATACAGCAAACAACAATATGATAATGATGATGAAATAGCCTCACTTATTAGGGAGAAAACATTTAAACAGGGTACAGGAAAAAGGTAACTCATTCTGAACTTTTTGTTCATTATTTATAACATTTATTATATATATTGTGTATTGTACTGGCTTAAATAACATTGAAATAAATCTTTTTTTAAAATGAAACTTATGTCTTAATGGTTTAAATTATTGTAAACAGAATCGATTGTTGAAAGGTCTGTACTAAAAATGTGCAATAACAGATAGACTTTAGTACTTGATTTTAGTACTTGAATAAAATCCTTGGAACACCAAAAAGGTAAATTCAAGGGGAGCATAGTATAATTTTATTCAACTTGTTAAATAAATTCAATATTGAACCTATACTCATTCAATATCCTTTATTAATGAATACATTGTGCATCAGGTTTGTGAAAGGAAAGAAGGCATACACGATAAGTAATCTGTGTTTAGTATATCCGCTAGTTAAAAATGGATTTATAGGAGTTTTGTAGTACTCGATTTTTGTTACAGACAAAGGCACGAGAAATTGCGCCCAGTACGTGTAGATCGTGGAGGTCCAAGTGAGTACCAGATGTTGCGATGTGAAGATCTGGAAGATACCCCACGGCCAAAAACACCTACGTTAAAACTCAACAAAGATGATCCGTTCAGTTTTTACGACTGAACTGGATAATAATACAACTATATATTTTTAGAATATGCATTTCGGCAAGAATGCCGCGCACAATATATATTTCAATGATAAAAAAATCTATTTATATTTATTATGTAACTTAGTTTATGATATGAGATTATTTAAACGCTAGTATTTACTGTTATTAAAGACAAGAAGTAGAGATGGATACATTACTGGTGTAACTCGGTGCATTTCTAGAACATGTTACACCGGTTTTGCGAGGATTGTCTCAAATTGCGTTATTTTTACTGCTGAGTTACTCTACTGTTGTTTTATTTTACATGCTTCACTGATGTAAAATTGTCACTGTCAATGTTTGTTTCATTTTATAAAAAAATAATATTTTCAAAACAGTGTAAATGTTCAGTGGGTATTATTTTTTTCTTAATATATGACCAACTGAAAAGGGTAAAAATAGATATCCAAGAGACATTGTAATTTTTTAATTTATGTACATGTAGCACAAATTAGATGATGTTGAACATGTGTGAAAAGTGTTTGTTTTGTTTTTGGAGTATTTTTTTCAGATATGTTTTTGGAGCCGTTTTTTTAAGATATCTCTGAAAAACATGTGTACTTTAATATCAGAAATTTACCAAAGGTACATTTTTTTTTTAGTTTGCAGCTTTTTGATATAAATTAACAATATTTCATTACTTTGTTTTTTGTTTTGAGAATGGATAGATTTGCTTAACAGTCACGTGTCACACAGTATATCTGTCCGACTTTTTATGTGCGTGAGTTGCATTTGTTTTCTGTCTTGCTTACACAATATGTTAACACTTTATACATTTCCCAATTTGTCTGTGATATACAAAAAGATTATTTCATTTTGATAACATCATTTTATTTCTTTTTTTTAATATGGTTTGTTTTTAAACAATCTCATTTTGTCAGCAATTAATTACCTCCCTTTTTCTCTCACTGCCAACTCATTAATTAATCTTCAAGCCTGTTTAAAGAAAAGTACAGCATGTATGTACTGATAATCACCAATGGTAACATAAATGGAGATGTCTTCTCAAGAAAAAGCTGTGTCATTACATACTAGTACATGTAATTCTAATGGAGAATGTAAGATTCAGCGATTCTTTATTGTATATGTACGATCTGGATCTTTAATGTGCTGTTGGTAAGCTCAATGGGTAAAGCGTTGGACTGTGAAATGGGCGACTTGGGTTAGATTCCCGGACGGTGCAGGTCACTTTCTTTGTTTTTGATCATGAAATACTTTCTACTGTCATTTGCACTGTACCTTTGCTCTGGCATGCACAGAAGTAACAGTTCCTTGCGAAAGTGAAAGCAACTAGTTTGAAGGCCTTCCCAGGAAATTCAATGTGGCTTTCTGCCGTGATCGGGAGTGAAATCTACCAACACTACCACAAATGTGCTGGTTGAACACCATGAACAGTAACCGCCTACATATTTGAATTACAAAGTAATACAGATGAGAATTTATTAGTAATTTCAATTTCAACATCAGGTATTGGAACCCAACAGAGCACATTTATGATATACTAAATCACAAAACTGTATACATGCACTGTTTTTGTGGGTTTTTCTTTTTGACTTTCTTTTGCAGTAGTACATGTAATTACATGTACATAAAATCAAACATCTTCGCATCTTTTGTTATAAAATCAAATTCCGTCCATTTTTTTGTCTTGTTTTATATGGCACATTGACTGTGATAAATTTGATAGAGAATCTGTTGTTATATAAGATATATTTTTAATAGTAATTTTGTTTTCTATGTAAATTAATGTTACCTTAATTATGAAAATTTGTTACTGTACCCGGCAGGTTTTGCTCTGTGCTTTTAGTTTATATATTGAGGGTTGAATGCAAAACTGCAGTAACTGTTATGAAATAAAGAAGGACTTACAACAGTTTTGCTAACAACCCTCGATATGTTCTTAAGAATAATTGAAATGTTGTATGTATGTGTTTCTAAATATGTGTAAAGAATATGTCATGTGTGACAGAAAATGTTGTTCTTCTGTTTGTAGATCTATATGTGAAGTTTTTGAGGAGATAAGAAAAATATTGTTATGAAGCACTTTTTATGGAAGCACATGTTTTTGTTTGTTGTTTTTTTATATAAAAGGAATACATTTTTTCATGATGGAAACTGTATAGAAAATGACATCATATTGTTTTCAAGTAGATCTACTGGAAATGCTCCTCTCACACTTATTAACTTGGTTTTAATATTTGAATAATTCTTGGATTGTCTTAGAGAACTCTCTCCTTTCCTTTCTTTGTGACATCTTGAAATTGAAATGAAGATAATTAAAGATTACAATGAAATATTTTGATTTTAATGCTACAGGATTTTTTTCTTAAAGTTTGTTCAGTTATATTTTGTTTGAAATGTTTTTATATGTTGTTCACCTGGAAGGATAGAGTAATGTATATGATGTGATAATAAGTCACGTGATGTCTTTGATCATTGTTTAAACCTTCAGTATTCTCATATGCTGAAACAATCATGTTAAATAAAATATTTCACTGTCTGATGTATTCTTATTTTGTTCAGGGCAGGGGTTGAACATAGTTTTTGTTAGTTTTGTTGGATTTTTTATTCATACCAACACTTTAAACATCATGTGATTATTTCCCAGCTTTAACTGGTGGATGAAGACCTTAAAGTGCCCCTTCGTCCATTGAACTTTGTAAAGCTATCATGTCATAAATAATATGTTTCTATAATAATGTTAACATTCATAACTCTCCAGGAACGATGGTTAGGAAACTACCCGCCTATATGACTGAAATACTGTTGGAAAAAGGCGTAAAATGAAACAAACAAACAAACATTCATAAAAATATCTATAACATTAATATTCCACAAGTCATAGTTATAGCAACAGACTGTTATGTGGAAATATCATGGCCTGGTGCGACATCGAAGGGTTTTCTTTACAGAATATGGGCCGAGAACATTGTAAGGAAAACCTGAGATGCCGCCCCAGGTCATGATATTTTTACATATTAGTCGAGTTCGATATATAATAACTGTTTTATCGCATGATAAACAGAAATGAGAATTTTAATTAACATAAAATTTCAATTTATAACTGGCTTCTCTTCATAAATTGGGACGCGCCAGTATTATGCTAACCGCCGTTTCATAAGCATTTTAAATGGCATGCCAAAAGATGGATTTTTAGCGCGACTATTCGCAGAATGATCAAGCTAATGCAGTCACCCATTTGTCGGCGTCCCTGTGGTTAAGTTTTTGCATGTAAGCTGGTATCTCCATAACTACTGAAGGGAATGGATTGAAACTTCACACACTTGTTCCCTGTGATTATCTAAGATGATTGGCACAAGTCCCATAACTCTGATTTGCTTTTTTACATAATTATGCCCCTTTTTCGACTTAGAAATTCTTGGTTAAGTTTTTGCGTGTAAGCTGGTATCTCCATAACTACTGAAGGGAATGGATTGAAACTTCACACACTTGTTCCCTGTGATTATCTAAGATGATTGGCACAAGTCCCATAACTCTGATTTGCTTTTTTACATAATTATGCCCCTTTTTCGACTTAGAAATTCTTGGTTAAGTTTTTGCGTGTAAGCTGGTATCTCCATAACTACTTAAGGGAATGGATTGAAACTTCACACACTTGTTCCCTGTGATTATCTCAGATGATTGGCACGAGTCCCATAACTCTGATTTGCTTTTTTACATAATTATGCCCCTTCTTCGACTTAGAAATTCTTGGTTAAGTTTTTGCGTGTAAGGTGGTATCTCCATAACTACTGAAGGGAATGGATTGAAACTTCACACACTTGTTCCCTGTGATTATCTAAGATGATTGGCACAAGTCCCATAACTCTGATTTGCTTTTTTACATAATTATGCCCCTTTTTCGACTTAGAAATTCTTGGTTAAGTGTTTGCGTGTAAGCTGGTATCTCCATAACTACTGAAGGGAATGGATTGAAACTTCACACACTTGTTCCCTGTGATTATCTAAGATGATTGGCACAAGTCCCATAACTCTGATTTGCTGTTTTACATAATTATGCCCCTTTTTAGACTTAGAAATTCTTGGTTAAGTTTTTGGGTGTAAGCTGGTATCTCCATAACTACTGAAGGGAATGATTTGAAACTTCACACACTTGTTTTCTGTGATTCTCTTAGATGAATGGCACAAGTCCCATAACTCTGATTTGCTTTTTTGCATAATTATGCCACTTTTTTGACTTAGAAATTCTAGGTAAATTTTTGCTTGTTAGACGGTATCTCCATAACTACTGAAGGGTTTGTACCTTTTCGGACAATTTTATGTATTCATATAGGTAAGCATTATTATACTCAATGAAACACCCTTGTGACAACTTTTTGAATAGTCGAGCGTTACACTGTCCTCCGACAGTTCTTGTTAAATTTATATCTGTTACAGAGCAGGCATAAAATAAGTAAAATAGGCATTGACCCATATTTGCGACTATGGGCATAAAGTGAACCATGTAAATATTATGCAAGGACGTTCCTTGATGTGGAAAATAAATATGCAAAGTTTCTTTGATCTTTTTCAAAAAAGTTTATCACTAACTTTCTTACAGCATCATAACAAATTCAAACACGCTTCACATTACTCACCAATTAAGCAGACAGTGCAGTCGAGTGAATAATTAGTTATTTAATTAATGCATGATGCATAAAAAGGGAATGAGTACAGTACACATGACGTCAATAAATCAAAATAAGCAAGGCCTTCCCACCATATCTACGTATTTTCAAAACCTTTCGTATGCACAATGTCTTTTATCTCTTTCTATATGGATACTATGTTATTCAAGCGCATCGTGAAAATGTGTCTATTTCGGATAATAATGTTTTTATTACAGAATGATACACAATAGAATAAAGTATAGATTGCTTTATGAAAGTGATGCGTAATTATGTCGCTAATATTTATATTATCCACATATGGATCTCAAATGCAATTTTGAGCAGCGATTCCTTCGTTTGTAGCCACATCTCAATAAATGTTTAAATCAGGATTTGTCTGAATGTTAAGCATCGGTCTGTAGTGAAATTTCTTAAAATCTCTGTTTTGTGAGTCCGTTTAGTGACATTTTCTTCATTCACATTGCATGTTTTGAACACACCAGAACCCACGACGGAAAGAATATCTCGATGAAGACTGCATAGAAATCCAAAACAAAAATGGGGAATATAGAGGAGAGTCAGGTGGGTAGAATCACATTTCGATTTTCTTAAAAAAAAAAAGGATTGAATTTTATATAAAACCATACAAAACTTACCATGATATACATTCATGCAATTGCCTAAAAGTTTTTATTTACTTCTATTTCTTTCCTTTTTAATGTATACCATTACATATCTTCTATTTTTGATTGCAGTCTATAAAAAAATATACAACATATTTCTGAAAACTGTTCAACACAACGTTATCACTATCGTGTGTGTGTTTTTTGTGTGTTGTTTAGTGTGTTTTTTTTTTACTTTAAATAAAAGGAAAACTGGAGATTGGTCCTTGGCAGTTGCTTTATTTGTTAAAGAATGTCAATCTTCATTTTTGTATTTATTTTGGTATAAAATTGGTTCAGGATTCAATTTGTGTTTTTGTTTTTTTACCATAATTATCCCATATTTTTATTTTACAAATGTTCTTGCAAACAGGTGCATGACATATTTTACCAGGCAATTTTTAGGATTGTCTATCATCCAGATTTCGAGGAAATATATGACAATATATAGTTGCATTGGCTTTCCAGTATAAATTACCAGTAATACCAGTAGACATTTAACTGATGACTTCATGACTACTAACCTTAAATGGTTTCTGAATAATGGGTAATAGAAAATGACAATAAAATTCGATATGTGCAAATTCCTAGTAATGATACATGTATTAGAGATTACTGCTGCAACGATAAATATTTTATGGAGATCATCGTCAAAGATTGCTTCACGTTAGTGGCTGCTACTACACTTACCATATGTTACCAAATTAATTAATATAGGATTGTGTCATGATTTATCAACATTTAATGTAACACGCTTCATGACAGCTCAAGGTAAGTGAATGCTGCTGCAGTTATGACATATCAATTTAGTATCAAAGTATATATATATATATATATATATATATATATATACTTTCACTTTCCTCATTTAAAAAACAACAACAGACAAACGGCCTAGAAATTGCTAGAATCAGTTTGTGCACATATTTTTTCAAAAAAGAAAAATATATATTGCGAGTCATTTCTTCTTTAAAGTTTTTGCTTTTTCATTTTTGCATTGTATTTATTTTTTTGATACTTTACAACTTTTGCAGTACCATTTTCCTTTCGGCAGTCTTTCTATTTTGCACATTTATAACGAATCCATTGATACTGCATTACAACCCCATCATCAGAACCCCGGGTTGTTCACAATAACAGTAAATTGGTTTCACCTGTTTTGTTTCTTCTTCACATGTCATTTTATGAGTTAGAAGTTCAGGTAAACAATTAAGTTTCCAAAATTGTTTAAGTTTTGGCAACATCTCATGTACAAAATGGGAATTTTTAGCCACATATGTAATAATGCAGGCTTCTGTAGTCCAGATGATGAAATGACAAAATTCACAATCAAACACATACATTTGTAACTGCACTTGAGTGTAGTATTTGCTACATTCCTTTAGTTGGTATCTTTTATCAAGACAGAAATTTTTGCTTTCTAACATTTCTTCGGCCGTATTTCCCTTTAAAGAATAGGGGCACTTTATTTCAATGACATCAGTACCACAACATGACCATGTTAAAATTCCATCTGGTGATGCCCAAATGTACGGTTTTGTCCCCTGATTTTTCTTTTTTAAGTTCTCATGTTGTGTGGCCATTGTTTCTTTGTATAGGCCTAGTGCCTTGTTAGCTTCATTTTCACGACCCCATGCCAGTGAAGGAACATTGACTTGTTTATTTTGATAGCAAATTTTCTAAATTAATGACTTAGCAGGCTTATCTATTGATGTGTGTAAAACATCATGAGCAACAGAAGCTGTGATTCTTCCAACACGTTGCTCATGCCGAGTTTCAGAGTTTCAGAATTAGACTGATTCACTGTACTTTGCTTAAGATATTCACATTCATCACTACTTACAATCAAACTATCTGTGACATTATCACACTTTTGTTGTAGTTCCAGGGGAGTCATTTTTTTGTTCACATCGTTATATAATGTAGTCAGTGGTTGTGGAAGACGCTTTATATTTGACACACTTGATGTTTTTAAAACATAAGCAGTTTCCTTGAATAAACTTAAACCCACAGGCTTTGTTTCAGTCTCTGTTAATGATTGAAGGAAGGATATTTGCTTTTCTTTAGAAGTGGGTGGTGGGGGAGGTTTTCTAACTCTTTTTGATTTAAGAAGCCTTTGTTTTGCTGATTCCTTGTAGAACTTTATCGCGGACATAGTGGCAGGTTCTACTGACTTTGTGAAGCATTTGTTCCAAGCACAAGGTTGTTCAGTGCATGCCTGTTTTGTGTATCCATTTCTTACTGCAGCTTCTACTTTAAACAGCATAGCTGCAACATGTGAACAGGATTCTCCCAACCTGATGAAAATAAGAACACATGCATCATTGTAGTACAACCATAAAGATTTTTTTAATAACATCAGTAATTAATTTTTTTATGTTGTTTCCATTTAATGTATTATTTCTATTTATTACATGCTTTTCGGTGGTTTATAGAAATATATCAGTGATATAAAAACTGGTAATTTCACTGTTTGACAGAGTGAAATTACCACTTTGATAATTTCACTGTTTTGAATTGAAGCCCCTTACGTTGTTTCAGTGAAATACCAGCGTGCACAGAACTGGGTACCAACTTAATGACGTGACGTCGTAAATGACGTCACGTTGTATTATTATTTGGCGCGCTTTTCATTCAGTATTAGGTTTAATGTCTTTTTAAAACGTTTCTTCGCATATAATAAAAAGAAAATGTGTTTAGTTTAGTGTAAGATCAAATATATTTCACCTTGTGAACACCAAAAGTTCATATTTCACTCGTGACTGCGCCACTCGTGAAATATATCTTTTGGTGCTCACTCGGTGAAATATATAGAGAATAACAGGTTACTGTCTTTTGAGAAAGGGTTTCTCAGACGAGGTTAGATATGGTCCTGGAAGGGCGAGGCTTGCCGAGCCCCTTCCGGACCATATCTAGCCGAGTCTGAGAAATCCCTTTCTCAAAAGACAGTAATGTTATTCTTTTTATCATGCCTCTATTATGATTTTGCATCTTATTTTTTTTAATTCGGGGCGCTAATTTCTGAAAGTACAGTAACCACAAGAGGGTTATATACGCCAAAAAAGTAGTCCGAGGGTTTTTACCAATAATTTTATAACACAACACAATTTTTGGTACAATCTGTTTTAACAATTTATTTACTGTGTAATATCATAAATATTCAGCAAAGTCAATTAAACAATACCAACAATAAACATCATCAGTGCTGATCTGGCGTAGGAACATAGTGTTCTCAAGTCACTGACTGAGAAAGGTTGCTGTTCTCAGACAGGCTTTATCAGGCAGTTGTCATAGTAATGGCATGATAAATTCCGATCTTACACTGAACTAAACAAATATCCTCTATTTCACTTTCAGTTCCATATAAAAATGCTTCATAAGTTGCATGGTTGTATACAATTATTGGTTGTATTTCATATAATATTCATCTATGGCCTATTGTTATTTATGCTTACAGCCACTTATTTTAACATCATATAAGTCGGACATAATTACTGGAAACTTACTAAGCATTTTTAACATTTAAATGATTGGATATGATTACACTTTATGTGGATGTACATAGAACAATCATATCAGTTGTTTTTTTACAGTGTTATAAAAAGTAAACTTATTAATTACATATTTGAATAAATTTGTGTTAAATCATATATTTGTATGTGTAGTTTGTTACCCTGCTTTACAATCACAATGGGCCGATATTATGTCGCCTTCTTTCGATATTGCTACCCAGGATTGATGTGGATCCTCATTTACACGGAATGAAGGTTTAACATTTGCCTTCATTAAAAGGTTTGAGGTGCCCTTTATCTCAAGATGGAATACTGTTTGTACCCAGCCAGAAATGAAAAGGTTGTGAGCCTCTAAACTTTTGTAATTTTTCATTGTTGCTTTTGTATAGACACCTACAACATAAAATTATGACTGCAAAAACACTCGTCAAAAATGGTAGTTTTTATCTTTAAAAAGCGTGTTTTAGGTGCTAACTTAATCCTTAATGATTAAGCTTGCCTTACATATTGTATTATGTGTCAAAAACTAATTCATAGTCCATTTTTCATCGCCTCTTGCTTAAAATCTGAGTAAACTTTTCAAATTATTTGCAATTTTGCAAGTATTGGCCTGTTTATTTCAAGTCTTCATCCTTGCCGTACATCAATACCTAAAACTCACTTTTCTACGATGAAAATTACCATTTTTGACGAGTGTTTTGCAGTATATTACAAGCACCGTGAAAGTTATCACAATTAAGAACTCCTTAAGTTATCATAAGAACTCCATCTCTCGTGTAACACTTCCTTCCCCGTGCTTAGGATTTCATTCATTTATACTTACTTAAAACGATTTGTTGCATTTCGAAAAGTGACAGACAGTACACGCAAATACCCCGACAATACACAACATGACAGTTGTAATATCGTAAAATTAGGTTAATCTGACCCATTTGTAAGTTGTCACCTAAATATATTAATAGTTCGCTGGAAAATTGAACGGCATTTTGTAGATACGATAAACAAATAAAGAAAAAGAAAATAATATAGGTTTTTGATTGATCACATTTGATAAATCAAAGCACAGAAGGCGCTGAATTTGTTTGGGTCTCGGAATGTCAGAAAGGTGAAGGTTGTCAGATTATAAAACAATTTTTTATATAAAACAATTTGTTTCTGTATAGTGTCACCAATGCTTCCAGCGTTTTAATTTTAGTAGATTGGCTATAAGACTAATTGCAACATTGATATTCAATCCAATGTTTATTTGACTTAAACAATTTGAAAAAAAATGAGTTGCCTTGACTGGGATTTGAACTCCAAACCCCTCGGCCATAGTGAATTTATATGTTGTCGGCCTGAAGAAAAGCATATTATTATAAAGTAGGGTTTGTAACGACGCTTACTGTTGTTTAACACTTGTGTAAATAATCATGTCGCTTACTATAAGCATGTATATCTATAAAGAATAAAACAATATTAGAAATCTTCGACCAATCGGGAATTATTTTGCTTGAAAATTAATGCGCCTGTCATGTGACCATATTTACGCAGTGATCTCCCCTGAATTTTTCGGCCTTAGTGTTACATATATAAAGGGAAGTAACCGCTTCAAAAGAAAACTATTGTATATACTGCAAAACACTTGTCAAAAATGGTAATTTTCATCTTAAAAAAGTGAGTTTTAGGCGCTAAATTAATCTTTAATGATTAAGCTCTTGCCTTACATATTGTGTTATATGTCAAAAACTAATTCATTTTTCATCTCGTCTTGCTTAAAATCTGGCAGTTTTCCGTAAAATTTTCAAATTATTTGCAAATTCGCAAGAATTGACCTGTTTATTTCAAGTCTTCATCCTTGCCATACATAATTACCTAATTACATGTATAATGCAAAATTGCAAATATAAAACCCAGACTAACAAATTTATACCCGATTTTTCAAATGTCCCGGAGTTCTTGTGATACCTCAATATATGTCCTGGAGTTCTTATGATAACTTTTGTTACTGCATGCCAATGTGTTTTTTGCGCTAAATCACAGCACGTTTTAATAGCGTTTTGAATCAGCGGCAGTATCATGGCCTAAACCGCAAAACAAAAATGTCACAAAACTTACACGTTGTTCTCAACCATCTTTCTTAAGCAGCTAATATATAGTTGTGCATCGCTTATCTAAGGGTTAAGTAATTTGTTAATTTTATACCATAATAAACAAGTACATGTGAAGCATAATTTCTTCAAATCTATATGTTTCCAAAAAGTACGACAATATGATAAAAACTCAACTGCTGTTGGCTCTAGCTATGACTACCGATCTCTCGAACAAATTTGCAAGTCCCTCCGGGTTCAAGACTAAAATATATTTTTGTTATCAATTACAGCAAAACTAACAGAGTTTACTCCACTAAGATTACATAGGGAAAATACCCATAAAACATCGGCAATCAGAAAAATATACATGAAGATACCATACTTGAGCATATCATGAAAGTCAATGCTCTACATCAATCCTTTTTCCAGTCTACGAAATTTGCTTCAGCAAAAAAACCATAAAGAAGAAACGGGGATAAGATATCTCAGTAATATCTCTTTAACTAAAAACACGCAAAACCAAGATAATATATCCTCATTTTTGTGCAAAAAGTGAGCGTACATGTACTTCATTTCATAATGATCTACAACACACCGTATTACCGGCGGCAGTGATGGCAGATCACTGCAGTGATGGCAGATATCTGAAAATTACCGATCGGTACAGGTAGGTTATAAATTTGGTTGGTTTAATTATATTACACAAAAACGGCCCATATCATTGCTATAAAACTATTGTCCATTGAATGGAGATACTGTAAGGTAATTTTGGACTCGTTTTTTCTTGTTTTAAGACTATTTTGAGCAGGTTAAAAGTGAAAGCCTTGGAAAAAATCCGTGAAAATGTCTGTTTTCTGTTCAAAATATCTCAAGTTTTAAGTAAATGGCAGGATTTCCTGTTATCAATATAGACGTTCATCCATTGGGGTCACGCAAGCCAAATATCTACCCCGTGAGTATTTTCTTAAAAGTTTTACAGACGCTCAATCTTGTCCGGTCGATGAAAAAATGCTGCCGTTGTAGGCAGATACATATTATAAATGCTACAGTATCTCCATTCAATGGACAATAGTTTTATAGCAATGAAATGGGCCGTATTTGTGTAATATAATTAAACCAACCAAATTTATAACCTACCTGTATCGATCGGTAATTTTCAGATATCTGCCATCACTGCAGTGATCTGCCATCACTGCCGCCGGTAATACGGTGTGTACAACCTTATTGAATAACATAAACCGCTATTTAAACGTGCCGTGATTTAGCACAAGAAACACATTGGCAGTAAAGAACTCCAGGACATATATTATGAGTTATCGGGACATTTGAAAAATCGGGTATAAATTTGTTAGCCGGGGCTTTATGTTTGCAATTTTGAATTATATAATTAGGTAATTATGTATGGCAAGGATCTGGGATGTATCGTATGTTCCAGCAAGGATGAAGACTTGAAATAAACAGGTCAATACTTGCGAATTGGCAAATAATTTGGAAATTTTACTCAAAACAAACAGATTTTAAGCAAGATGCGATGAAAAATGGACTGTGAATTAGTTTTTGACACATAACGCAATATGTAAGGCAATCTTAATCATTAAAGATTAATTGAGCACCTAAAAATCACTGTTTAAAAATTAAAAAATGACCATTTTTGACGAGTGTTTTGCAGTATATACAATAGTTTTCCGACGAACTCCGTGACAGTTTCACAAGAACTCCTTGGCAAGTTATCATAAGAACTCCATCCCTCGTGTAACACTTCCTTCCCCGTGATAACAGATGTTCACCTCGGCTATTTTTAGAATATCGGTTTCTACGGGAAGTGACGTCACGTCGACCTTACCAATAGAGATGCTGATTGACTGTTCACATCATTTGGCGGCGTCTTTGATGTGCAGCATCAACATTTAACTTGTTCCTCTTTATCTATATTGTCCGCGTTTTCCCTATATGTTTATATTGTCCGCTTTAGACGTCCGCGTTTTATACAGGCCCCCGGAAATTGCACAATTTCTTATGGAATTACAGTGTATACGTGTACAGAGTTAAATTTAACTCTGAAGTAAAACCTTTTCAGCCAACACGAAGCCGCCAACAGCAGACACGAACAATTTCAATTCGTACTCAATATTTTCGCGTAAATCAGTGTTTACCATTTCGTACTTTATTAATTAATTATTTATTGTCTTTTTCGATCAAAAGTAAACTATTTCATCGTTTTGTAGGTTCCTTATACAATCATTTTAAAATTTGAACATTAATAGACATAAATAAAAACAAATTTCAAAGATGATTTAAAAAGTCACGAACTTTGTATATATTTTTAATCATTTTCACTAATCTGCAATAGTAAATATCATATCGTGAATTTTTGTGTTTGATTATTTCAAGCATTTACAATATTGATAAAATTAATGTATGTTTATCTTTGTTCTTTAGTGCTCAATAAAGCTTTACCCGTATACTTGGTTTGACCGATATATAGGGGGTGTTCAAAGAGTAGCGTATTTGACGAAGTAATTGCTTTTATTGATACACAAAATTAGTGTCTGCTAAAATCTTAATCACATATTTACTCATTGAACACATAGGAAACATAAATGTATGTGAGCCCTCATTAAATTTAAAGTGGCATGCAAGTATAAGTGTCACATTCCTTCTGATGGACAGAGGGGTCGTTTCAAAGTTACGGACATTGTATATATTTTTAATCATTTTGACTAAACTACAATAGTAAAATCATATCATGAATTTTTTGAACGATTATTTCAAGCATTTATGATATTGATAAATGTAGGTATATGTTTGGTCTTGAGTGCAAACTATAGCTATACCCGTCACATTACTTGGTTTGACCGATAGAGGGTGTTCAAAGAGTAACGTATTGGACTAGAAATTGCTTTTAATGAGACAGAAAATTAGTGTCTGCTAATATCTTAAACACATATTTTCTCATTTATCACATAAGAAAAACTAGAACTGTGTCCAAAGGACACGGATGCCCCCACTGACAACATTTATATGGTATAAAGTGAAAAAATCAACAAAGGGCCATAATTCTGTTAAATTTGGTTGCAGCAAAAATTCATTCCTTTACTACCATCTACACATTAAGGTTGTTCATCCCTGGAAGTTTAAGCAAAATCTGCCATCCGGTTTAAGAGGAGTTGCGTTCACAAAATTTCTATATAGTATATAGTGAAAAATCAACAATTGGCCATAATTCTGTTAAATTTGGTCGCAGCAAAAATTCCTTCCTTCACTACCATCTACATATTAAGGTTGTTCATCCATGGAAGTTTAAGCAAAATCTGCCATCCTGTTTCAGAGGAGTTGCGTTCACAAAATTTCTATATAGTATATAGTGAAAAAATCAACAAAGGGCCATAATTCTGTTAAATTTGGCCGTAGCAAAAATTCCTTCCTTCACTACCATCTACACATTAAGGTTGTTCATCCCTGGAAGTTTAAGCAAAATCTGCCATCCGGTTTAAGAGGAGTTGCGTTCACAAAATTTCTATATAGTATATAGTGAAAAATCAACAATTGGCCATAATTCTGTTAAATTTGGTCGCAGCAAAAATTCCTTCCTTTACTACCATCTACACATTAAGGTTGTTCATCCCTGGAAGTTTAAGCAAAATCTGCCATCCTATATAGTATATAGTGAAAAAATCAACAAAGGGCCATAATTCTGTTAAATTTGGCCGTAGCAAAAATTCCTTCCTTCACTACCATTTACACATTAAGGTTGTTCATCCCTGGAAGTTTAAGCAAAATCTGCCATCCGGTTTAAGAGGAGTTGCGTTCACAAAATTTCTATATGGTAATATACTGAAAAAATCAACAAAGGGCCATAATTCTGTTAAATTTGGTCGCAGCAAAAATTCCTTCCTTTACTACCATCTACACATTAAGGTTGTTCATCCCTGGAAGTTTAAGCAAAATCTGCCATCCGGTTTAAGAGGAGTTGCGTTCACAAAATTTCTACATAGTATATAGTGAAACAATCAACAAAGGGCCATAATTCTGTTAAATTTGGTCACAGCGAAAATTCCTTCCTTTACTACCATCTACACATTAAGGTTGTTTATCCCTGAAAGTTTAAGCAAAATCTGCCATCCGGTTTAAGAGGAGTTGCGTTCACAAGATTTCGGGACGTACGGACAGACGGACGGACGGCCGTACATACGGACGGATGGACGGACGGACAAGTGCAACGCTATATGCTCCCACTCTGTGGGGGCATAATAAAGGTATGAAAGCCTTGATTAAGGTGGCATTGCAGTATAAGTCTCACATTCCTTCTGCGGGACAGAGGGGTCGTTTCAAAGTTACTGACTTTGTATATATTTTTAATCATTTTCACTAAACTGCAATAGTAAATATCATATCGTGAATTTTTTGTACGATTATTTCAAGCATTTACAATATTGATAAATGTAGGTATATGTTTGGTCTTTAGTGCTAAATATAGGTATACCCGTCACATTACTTGGTTTGACCGATAGGGGGTGTTCAAAGAGTAACGTATTGGACTAGAAATTGCTTTTAATGAGACAGAAAATTAGTGTCTGCTAATATCTAATTCGCATATTTTCTCATTTAGCACATAAGAAACATACATTTATAAATGCTCTTTATAGCTGGTATGGTAGTATATGTGTCACATTCCGTCGGAGAGACAGAGGGGGCGTTTATAAAAGTTATGAATTTCATATTATATTCTTTATCATTTTTAATAAATTTCAACAGTAAATATTATATTCTGATTTGTTTAGTACGATTATTTCAAGCATTTACAATATTGATAAATGTAGGTATATGCACATACGCTTGGGGGTCAGATCCTGATGGTGAAAGGTAATTTTTTTCAGATATGTAAAAAATTGTTTGGGATGTACTATTCTCCGGTCTCCTATCGGTAAATCCCGGTCTCTCCCGGTCTATTTTGACCGGGATTTACTAGAGACCGGCGAATAGTATCACGCGGTCTCTCTCGGTTTTGAAGTAGATATTTTATTTGAAATCGTATCAAAAATAAGATTTTTTTCCCAAAATTAAATGTTTTCACTTAATTTGGTTGCAATAATGAATTAACAGAGATCATCTCTCAAATTTATTTATTTATTATAGATCTAATTATTATCATTATACAATCATACAATAACCTACAAAAAACATACATAATTAAAAAACAATTAATTTGAAACGAAATACATTATATACGAAAAAAAATCTTATATCAACACATTTTTCATCTAGAAAGATCGATATTATTTAGAAGACCGGCACTGACCGGGCCAGTAAATATGATACTATTCGCCGGTCTCTCGAAAATTCCGGTCAAAATAGACCGGGAGAGACCGGAAGCGACCGGACCGGAGAATAGTACAATTGTTCGAAAACCAGTTGTATCGTTGTAGCAGCTAGACATTATAATATTTTTGACAGGTTGTTTACAGGGGCGTATCACGTTGGGGGCAGGATCTGACCCCCAAGCGTCTGTGAACTGCAATAGTTGATAATATATCGTGATTTGTTTTTACTTTCCGAACCTGTGAAAAAGAAAGCCCTGGAAGCGAATAGTTTCGTGGCGAATCATTTACTACTTTCTTTTGTTATGCTCACTACAACTTGATACGGAACCATTTACTGTATTAAATATGTTGACAGTTTTATTCACATTCAGTTAATTTTATGGCGTTAAACATTTCCTGGTCAAATTCGTAGATAAATGCACGGATTTTTATTACCTCATTTATATTTATAAATCCGTGATTAATGCCATCAATATTAAAATACTCTTCATTGTAGATGCGAATCGATGGAGTTTTAACTCTTTAACTTCCGTTCTTCGTGTCTGCTCTTCGTGTCTGCTGAAAAGATGTTGGTGTAAACAAGCTGGCCATATCTTCAAATTAAAATTGCTTATAGACTTCTATTTAGGTTCCAAGAAGATATTATATTGTGCTTTTGTTGATTATTGAAAAGCTTTTGATTCAGTAATACGAAGTTAATATATATCAGTGGCGTAGCGCGACCAAAAGTAGTGGGTTAGGGAGGGGGTGGCCCCTCCCTTTGTAAACGGCAGGGGGTTCGGGGGTCTTCCCCCGAGGAAATTTGGATTTATAGATGCAAAATAACGCAATCTGGAGACATTTGACAACATTTTTAATTCTCTTCTTATCTAATAAATAGAGGATATTGAAATAGTGTAAGTTTAATATACTAAATTTATTTAATGAGTTTAATAAATTGATATATTATGTGAGCCTCTGGAGGGTTAAGGGACAGGGTGGCATGTCATGGTAGATCTCTTCATGGTGCTGAATGATAGTTCAGCTGTAGCCGTAGACACTGGCATAGTGAGCAGTTCTAGCAAACAATGACAGACATTGGGATAGTACTGCTCATTAGCCAAGTGGTAATGTTCCTAGAAGTGTATCAGGAGCTTGTGGACAGTCCAACGCATTAAGTGCTCCATCTGTCCAACATGTAACCCATTTTCTCACTTCCCTTGTAAAGGTAGCTTCGTCCGTACGCCCTAGACAGCGTTTAAAAATGACTCTTTATTTCAGTTTATTATAAATCTAGTTAAAAAATAAAATAGAATAATATTTGATGTAATTTGATAGAAAAAAATACATTTGAATATGATTTAATGACAAATTGCATTATCTTACCTACTTTAAATTTCTTGATCTGCATAAACTTACCTCGATTTAAATGCATAATTATGGACATCGGGCCAATCTGACTTTAATATAAATTTAGTGACTTTCTGTTCATCGTTTAAAACGGTGCAGTTGAAAATATCTACGTAAGGAGGCTCATGTTCTTCAGACGTTTTACATTGGGACGCCATTTGATTTTTCCCGCTAGTTTAACTTCTTATGTAAACAACATTCGGAATATAATAGGATTCTACGATAAGATACTAAAAAGTCAATACGCATGACACTGTCTTACCTAAAATAGTACTAACTGTTCTACACTTGCAACAAAAAATACCGATACACTATTTAAATCGCTTTTAAAAATAACAAAATATTTTTTGTCAGCAAATCCTTTTTTCTCCGTCAAAACTCACGGCGATGCCTAACACGGGTTAGGGTACTGATTTGGACAACTGTTTTCAACATTTAAGACTTTTTGATATTTGAAAATTCATTTTCGTTTAGTATGCCTACGGCGTACTGGCGTATGCCCGGCTACGCTACTGTATATTCATGGTAAATGTTCTAAAATTATAAATGATATACATGTATCAAAAGGCTAAATCCTACGGTGGCACAAAGGTGACATGTGTGTGTTTCAGTTTATCTCGTTGCCACGAGATAGCTAAGTCGTGGCCACGAGATACTATGTCGTGGCCACGATCGAGTTACTAAGTCGTGACCATGAGATACATTTGTGTAGCTAAGTCGTGGCCACGAGAGAGCTAAGTCGTGGCCACAAGATAAATAACTAATCAGATTACACCATTTATATGAATTTCCCTAATTAACTAGACATGTGCTATAGTACAAGGATGCCCCAACTTCATCAGCCTGTAAAAGTGCAATTTATACAACTTATTGACTGGTCAATAATTTTACATTTAGCATCACTGGGACCCTGATTTTTGACCCAATGACCTCAACATTATTAGATGTCATCTACTGATCAGGTGCAATGATCTTATATAAACCATGGCTTATCCCGTCTAAATTATTCATCAGACCAGGATTTTACCTTATAAGCTATCTACTGTCCATGGGCAATATCTCTTCCAAATAAAATAAACCAGGACTTATTCCTTCTCATGTTATCGTATAAACAAGGTTAAGAGGCTGAAGTACGTACAAACTGACCAATTTGATCACAAAATTGTCCCAACAAGAGGCTATAGTCAAAATTAATGTCTGATGGGCCTTGGAAGATGACTTTCTAATATGATCCTATTTAAAGACATGTTCAAAGTGAATATCTTCAGTATTTTCAAAGATTAATGTTACATGTAAAAGTAAGTTATTAAGTTTAAAAAAGTCATAATATAATATATGGTGCATTCTGATTGGTTAATTATCTCGTGACCACGACTTAGCTATCTCGTTCCCACGACTTAGTAACTCATGGCCACAACATAGTATCTCGTGGCCACGACTTGGCTAAATTCTCGTGGCTACGACTTAGTAACTCGTGTCTCGTGGCCACGACTTAGTACCTCGTGGCCACGACATAGTATCTTGTGGCCACGACTTAGTAACTCGTGGCCACGACATAGTATCTCGTGGCCACTAGTACTTAGTAACTCGTGGCCACAACATAGTATCTCGTGGCCACGACTTATCTATCTCGTGGCCACGAGATAAATAAAAACACACACATGTCACATTTGTGCCACCGTAAAATCCTGTGTAAAGTCTGGTAATATTTTGTAATGCTTTTTCACCAGTGATTCAGGCGTCTGTCAGGGTGTAAACCTTTCACCCATATTTTCAATTTTTCTTAATCTGTTAATGATTTGTCTCAATTTTAAATTTATGTCGACAAAGTTTGGGTGGCTAAGATCATTCTCAAAATCAGCATTTGATTTATTGAGTGGGAATGATTTTGATGTATATCTTAGACTTTATTTGTTGCTTCATGCGGATGATACAATACTGTTTGCTGAGTGCCAGTCTGATTTGCAGATCGAGTGCTTTAAATGCTATATTTGATTACTGTAAGAGACGGGACTTGTAAGTTAAGAATTACAGTCAGCCCGGCCCCAAGTTAACCAGGCCTCAAGTCAATCCGGCCCCAAAATTAGTCAATCCGGCCCACATTATTTCTATTTGGTCAATGCGGCCCAAAGTCAGTTAATCCGGCCTCAAAATTGATTTTCAGAGAATATTTTATTAAATTAAATCATTATGTTTTAGACAATATTTTGCTTCTTTCATTTTCCCTTTTGTATATAAATGATATATTTAAAATTATTACACACATCAAAAAAAGATTTTCAAAATATATATGAATAATTGCATATTTACAAGTAAATAAAACTTTACCAAATGAAGATTAGTAACCATATAATAAAGTTATTGAAAAACATTATTAGGCTATAATTTGTTGGTAATTTAATTGCACCAGTTAAGGCTTTTATACATAATAGTGATAATGAATAATTATATTAACATCAATAATTATGTGTGAACGTATGCATTTATTCAAAAGTGATGAACAAAAAATTAAGAGCAATCAATAAACAAAGAAATATTAATTGTCAAAAAACCATGGTCTCTTTCATGTCTTTATTTGATGTAAATTCGAAAATATATTTTCCTAAACATAAAAATGCTTTAACTTATGATGTCTATTTTGGTACCGTTACTTTATACTAGTAAATCAAGAGAAAAAATAATGAAATAATTTTTTTGATAACTTACTTTGGAAATATTTTATGACTTTCTCCACAGATTTATATTACATCCGTGCTTACTTAATATGTGTTTTCCTTTACCACATGTGGGAATCGTTCCAAAATGGCCGCTTCGTGAGCTGCGAGGTAGTTAAAATGAATGGTTACCAATTTCTATCCGTCTGGCTCCTGGCATAGTGGTAGGAGTTGGGAGGTACATGGTATTCAAGCAAAAGGTGTCCCATAAGTCAGAATTGGCTGGCCCTTTCAGTAGGGGTGACACTATAATAAACGAGACCTGTACCTCTACAAAGAGCTGTCCGCAACACGAAACATACAAACTTTCCTTATTGATGGACAAACTTCTGCTGTAAATAATTGTCGCAATTTACCGAGCCCAACAACAATTAATTTCAGTGTTTTTATGCCACCGCAGCATCTGCGATGTGGTAGCATATAGCAATTCACCTGTGTGTTTGTATGTATGTTTGTGTGTTTTATAGATTACATGTATGAAATCTTCTTGTGAAAAACCACTAGTCCAATTTCAACCAAACTAGAAAAGAATTGATCCTTCCAAAGTTGTTCAAAGAATTTCATTCCATGCAGAAATCTGGTTGACATGGCAAACAAAAGGAATTATAAGAATAAATTTAAAAATCTTGTTGTAAAGATTAGCATATGCATTTTTGTGTCGCCTTGAAAAAGGCGACATATAGGGGTTACTTTTGTAGGCGGCAGCGGTGTCGGCGTCCCTTAAGCTTGCCTGGAGCATAAGTCAGTCATTAAAAGTCAGATTGACTTCAAACTTGGTATGCATGCTTCTTATAATGATCTGAAGTGCAGTGCACAATAACTGGTACTCTGCACTTCTTAATTTTTGAGTTATTGCCCTTTGTTAATTTTCATTCTATTTTTGTCCAGGCTGTTTCTCCTAAAGTATAAAAGCTATGGACATGAAACTTCATAGGATGATAGATCTCATTAAGAAAAAGTGCAGTGCATAAGAACCAGTACTCAGCATTTCTTTTTTTTTGAGTTATTGCCCTTTATTAATTTTCATACTTTATTTTTGTCCAGGCCATTTCTCCTAAAGTATAAAAGCTATGGACTTGATAATAGATCTTATTGATAAGAAGTGCAGTGCACAGAAACTGCTGCTATGCACTTCTTATTTTTTGAATTATTGCCCTTTGTTGTGTCGCCTCTACGGAGTAGTGGACATATAGGGATCACTTCTCCGTCGTCCGTCTGTTCGTCCATCCGTCTGTCCGTCCGTCCATCCGTCACAAAACTTGTCCGGACTACTCCTCATAAACTACTGGTGCAATTTCATCCAAACTTTACAGGAATGATCAGTACCAAGTCTAGTTGTGCATATTGTCAGCATTTTCCGGTTCAATGATTTTTGTCAGAGTTATGGCCCTTTAATAATTTTTATTTTTAAAGTTTGTCCGGACTACTTCTCTTATACCACTAATGCAATTTCAATGAAACTTTACAGGATTGATCTGTAGCTCAAGTCCTTGCGCATATTGCACGGGTTTTCCGGTTGAATGATTTTTGGCCGAGTTATGGCCCTTTGATAAAAAGGTGCTTTTTTCTGTGTGTTGCCAGATACACAAAAGCTTGTCCGGACTACTTCAACTACAGGTGCAATTTCATCCAAACTTTACAGGAATGATCAGTACCAAGTCTAGTTGTGCACTGTTTGCTGTCACAAAACTTGTCCCAACATGAAATTGGCCATCATAAGGCGACACATGTGATCACTTATCGCTCTTGTTAATTTTCATATTTCATTTTTGTTCTGGCCATTTCTCCTAAACAATATTGTTCACAAGGCGACACATCCGACTCGCGGAGCTCTAGTTGACTTTCATATAATTCTGAAAAGTGCCTTATGACTAGACAATACAGTGTGTCCGGGCTAGCCAGTTCCTTAAAAAATAGCTGACTTCTTTTTAAAGGCGAAAAATGAAAATCCTCTTATATGTCTAAAATATCAATATAAAGAACTTTTAAATGATGTAGGAATCTAAAAAATCGATCCACAAATAAAAAAGGTAGAATTTAAAAATTCTGCTGCGTTATAATGCATACATGTATATGAATACTGGCTTTAAATCTGCTAAATTCTGGTAGCAGGTGCATGTGATGTCATCAGTCAACTTGCCTATCCAAATATATACTAAAATACATATTTTATACTAAAAAATGCTGTTTTAATTATAATAAAATATCCTTTCCCTAAGATATAACCAAATATATCCAAACATACATTTTCCAATCATTGTGTTTTGAACCGAAATATACCCAAATATACTTCATTAAATTTATTAAATTAAAAAAAAAAAAATCTGATGGACACTTGTATGAAATTACAACAAAAATTTAACCTTAATTTAAATGTAGACAACAAAATAATCATATATTTTATTTTTAAATTGCATGTATATTCATTAATGAACCTAATCCAGGGCTTCCATTAAGTTCCAAAATTTGAAAGTCACAAGCCAAAATCAAGGAGTAAATGACTCCCAAACTTCCATTAACTGAAACCCTGGCCTCGTGTTCACAAAGAAAAGACAAGGATCAGGTGATCCTGATTTTATTTTCATTGTTTTATAAAACTTAAATTGATCGTATTATGCTAGAATTAAAGGGTACATATCCGAAATGTAAATAATTGCTTATTTGCAAAGAAATTTAACCAACCTATTTTGGGATAAACTCAACGAATAACAAAACAAATACAAAAATAATCGGATCAATTTTGGGGTGAAGAACAAAATTTGGATCAACTGTAAATTGCCCATATCTTGTAAACAACAATAAATTTATTCTAAAATTTCATAAACATGCTATTTCAAGTCAAGTTTGATCATGTTAATATTGGATGTTTAATCTATGAGGATAAATAATGGAGAATTTTGAGTTTTAAAATTGATCCTGATCTTGATCCTGATCCTTAAATCTTTGTGAACACGGGGCAGTAGATCAGGAAATGTCACATGTTTATTTACTTACAAAATCTTAAATGCCCATTTCAGCAGAATGAATGAAAGTTATAGCGGCTTAGTTTATATGTTATTTTATAAAATGGCTGGGGCATTATAGTGTTACCCTGTTCCATCTTTCCGTCCCTCTGTCATTCCCTCATCATCAGTTTCCATTCATTATCTTAGTAACGGTTGTACACATTAAACTCAAATTTGACATATGGATATATCATAGGAAAATGCAGGTCAAGTATGAATTTGGTCATGTTTCGAGTATTTCTAACAGAGTTATGCCCCTTTAACTTTGAATTAAAAAAAAAAGAAATTTCAGTTTCCATTCATTATCTCCCAAATAGCTGTACACATTTAATTCAAATATGGATGTGTCATAGGAATGCACAGGTAAAGTTTGAATTTGGTCATGGTTTGATGATTTTGGACAAAGTAATCCACGAACCTCGGAAAAGATTTGAAATTCCGCACTCTTACTTTTGTGGAAATGTATGTATATGGTTGAAATAGCATGTACAGGTATTTTACCAGAAAATACAAGTTAAGTTCTTATTTGGTTTTGGCCCGATGATTTTTGACCAAGTTATCTTTCTTGAAAAATAAGAAATTTTCAGTTTCTGTTAATGCTTGTCCAAGATTGACATGGCATGTGCTTGTATTTTACCAGAAATTACAAGTCAAGTTATATTTGGTCATAGTCAGATTTTTTGATAGTTATCCCCTTTGAACTGGGAAAAGATCTAAAAATTCACAATTTCTTATTGTTACCTCGGCTACAAATATGCTATTTGCAAAAGGTTTACACTAAATAGTTTCAGAGCCTTGAACTTTGTATAAAAATAGTTTGTGTTAACATTGAATAATTTGAGAGCCTTGAACCTTGAAAAAATAGTTTGTGCAAACAAATTTGTAACTAAATCTTATTATAACATTTGAAATTTAGGCTGCATGCGGGCCTTCCATGATATGACAACACATTTCTAGTTAGACTATACTTACAGTGTATTTTGATATTGACCAAAGTCCTAATATTTATTTGCAGGTATCAACAATTACAACAAAAGAAATGTCAGGTATCCCAGATTTTTCAAGAATTGAAGAAGATGAGGTAAGAAATACATGTATATGCTGTTTATAAGGTTATCTAATAATACATTTGACAATTGATAAAATTAAGTAAAAATTGCTTGATTAAGTATCATGGTTGTATTTTCTGATCGCAAGATCAGTAAATACAAAGCTAACATCCACGGTCTAACACAAAATTTCCTCACAGACCTAACAACGCAAAGTAGTTCTCACTCAAAACTGCTTAAAAACCAGCAATTTAAAAGAAAGAATAATGTTTAATGTAGACCTTTAACGAATTACAGTGCATTAAAAGTTTAGATTAGTCAATAGAAATATGAGGTTACAATCACAAATTTCGAGGATGAATATCTTTTTTACCCAATGAATAATGTTCGACTATTTCCGTAAAGCTTAATCAATGAAAATGCTATTTTTAGCTATGTCGATTACCGAATACTCCAGAGCGTAGTACACAAATAAATCTGACTGTCGAGTAGTGGAATATATACATGTCGGACTGTTTTGGCGAGAAGATTTTCGCTAAATTATTTTCATCAGTGTTTAACAACAGGTTTATCGTGAAAAAATACCTCGAAATTTATAAGGATTACAAACACGAAATGGAAATTCTCAATTTTAGAATTACAATGTATTTGTTTTTATTCAAGCTACATACGTATTACTTCACCGTGGTGCAGAGGTAGCGCGCTCGTTTAGGGTGTGAGAGGCCTAAGGTTCAAATCCTAGTCGAGGCAACATTTTTTTAAGTGTCTTTTTTAAGGAAGTAGCCACGATATGCAAGGATAAAGTGTGGCTGTCATAAAAAAATGAAAAATGATTTTTTGATGCAACTCTAGGCATGCAAAATTCCATATGTATCAATCTCAAACTGTTATAGAAAAAAATCTAAACGCAGTCGCTGCGTAAGATGAATTATAGTATATAAAAATAAACTTATACAGGAAAGATCAGAAAATACCACAGAGCATGCAGCCCTTTGATTTTTCACCAGTTTTTACATAGGAAAAGTCTGGTTATTAGATTGGGATATGTCAGTGGGTATGAACAATTTCTTTTGTATGCAAATCCTACATTTCTCAAGGAATTTTGACCAAACTTTACTTTGTCATCAAATGCCCTGAGGCATATGTATGGCCCTTTTCTAAAAACCAACAGAGGCACAACTCCTACATTTCTGAAGAGATTTTGACTAAACTGGAAGAAAAACTTCCATCGTCCGTTAGCAATTTGGTTTCCGGAGCATAACTTAAGTTCCATTTGGCCCACAATATTCAAACTTCATTGGATGATTGTCCATATTGGGTAGAAGACCCCTAATGATTTTGCGGTCACAAGGTCAAAGGTCAAGGTCACGATTACCTTAAAACTGAAAACAGTTACTGCTCAATTAATCAACCTACAGCTGTAAACTTTTATAGGATGAACAACCAAGTCCAGTACATGACCCCTATTGATTTAGGGTCATAAGGTCAAAGGTCAGGGTCACAATGATCTTTACACTGAAAATTGTGGTTTCTGGAGCATAACTTAAGTTCCATTTGGCTAACAGTGTTCAAACTTCATAGGATGATTGCCGATATTGAATAAAAGATCCATATCTATATTTGGGTCACAAGGTCAAAGGTCAATATCAAATGACCTTAATATTGTTAACAGTTTTACAACTGTCAAACTTCATAGGATGATCACTTATATTGAGTACATTAATTATATGCCCTAAAAAATTTGCTTATATTATGTTATACCCCTGGCGTCTTTCCGTCCATCTGTCATAGCATTTTTACTTACAAGATAACAACTTGATGGTGGTGCTTTGGAAACAGCAACTGTTTATATATATACATTTGCAATATATATATATATAAAACTCTAAAAGAACTTGGTATAAATGTCTATCACATCAAGGCCCATGTCCCTACTTCCAAGGTCAAGGTCACGCTTATAGTTAGAAGGTACTCATTCTCACAATTAGAGTTTGATTATTTCTTACACGTCCAAATAATTTATGCATTCATTAAAGGATACACAGGCAAATTTATGACAAAAATATTGAAATGATCTAATGTACTCAAATCATGCTTAAATGACATTTTGTAAAGTCGACAGAATCAACAATTCAATCATGTGACTTGAACAAACCCTTGAAGTTACAATAACAGATACTGTGGGTATTGTATGATTGAAACAAGTATAAGTCATTCATTTGACATGTTCTTTAACGTTTCATGAGTTCACTGTGACAACTATTGTGAAATCTTAACGCTCTTAAACCTGACCCATGTGGGTCAAGTTATGAAACCACCATTTAATTATAAAAAGAAAAGTGTTGTTCCTGTGACTGCTTATTGTATTCATTTTGAGGACATTTACAGAAAAATGAATGAAAAATTCAAAGCGAATGAAAAATTCAAAGCGAGGAAATGAAAATTGTCTCCCTTTAATGTATACTTCCATTTCAATAGATTTGATACTTTTTTTTTTTCATCTGACGGTTAAATTGTTGGATATAGTTTTATCTTTAATGATATAAATAAATAAGTGTTTTTTTAATTGATCATTTACTGAGTTGCACCCCAAAGTTCATGTAGCATTCCCTATGGCTCTCCTACTAAAGTTGTATAAATCATGACACTTTTTGAAAAATGGCTTGACCTCAATGTGACCAAATGACCTACTGCCCCATTTAAGAATTATGACCTCCTTCCAATGGATCTCAGGTGAGCAATCTAGAATCTTTTTATTAGACCATACTTGGTATTTTGATTTTGATTCATTTTATTGAAGTCCTAATATATTTTTTTGCAGGTATCAACAAGAACTACAAATGAAGATGGAAGAATCCAAGATTTTTCAGCCATTGACATTGAAGATACAGATGAGGTAAGATGTTTTTGTTGTTTTTAGCTCAGCCATTCAAAGAAATTAGAATAGTCAGATTTTGAATGAACTGTTCCAAGTTCACAGCTGAGCAAATCCATTTTATAAATTTACCAGGTAAAAGGTCACATAGACTAAAGATAGGTTGAATATATTTCGGTTTCTTAACTCAATGTACATGTATATGGAGAGCTACTAGAGATGTGTTTGTGGAAGATTTCATCTATCCATGCCATGAAGGTCTGTCTTAAAGTGGACTTCTTCATGTCAAATAATTAATCAAGAGTGAGAACAATGAAAAATTCTATAATTTAACAAAGCCCAATTTCATAACTATCATCCCAATTATAGGTATTGATAAATTGCTACCCTGTTGGTACTTTGTTGTTTCATTCAGCCCTCTTTAAAGATATTCTATGCTCGGTACTTTGTTGTTTCATTCAGCCCTCTTTAAAGATATTCTATGCTCATGTTTAATATGAGAATATATTGACATTCCAACACTGAAAAGCAGTTGTTTCTGGTGAGCGACTCAGGGCCATCATGGCCCTCTTGTTGTGTTAGTAATAACCAGTACTCGGCGGGGGATAATAAATTCAATGATATTGCTTGTTGTACTAATAAGAGTCAACAAAAAGCCAAAATCTCGCTCAAAACAGTAGTCAAGTCATCATTTTCATGAATGATCTTGAAAAGTAAACAATTTCGTGGAAATAATGATGATGAGGGATAAAGGGTAATGTCTTTGCAGCTGTATGCAGCTATTCATTTTTTACAGTTCGGTTAAATAAAAAAATATATTGGCCAGTTTTCTTATCTCGTTGGAAATCCTGTCAGTTATCCGCCATTTATTGCACAAATCGTGCATTATTTTCACCTTCCGGCATTACTGGATATACACAGTGAAATTGCAGCGGATGCAGTTTGATATTTAAAATTAGAGGACAATTTTTTTTCTCTACTGTACATAATTATGTTAACTTATAATTCAGTGAAAAAAGAACATCCACATCAATCTTATTACGTTCATATGAACTAGGATTCTGCACTGTAATTGTCACCAAGGTCCTGTAAAAAACTTGGTTTCACAGGACCTATTGTCCTGTAAGATCATTTCAAGTTTCACTAGGACTGCTGAAGCAAACACTCATGTTTTTATATAAGAATACTGAAAATTTTCTTTTTCTATTTCAAATTGGTGCTTTATGTCCTAAAGCACAAGATATCCTTATTATCCCCCACCGAAAAGGCGGTGGAGGATATAGAAATAGTTTCTGTCTGTCCTTCGTTCCTACATTTTTAGCTCACCTGTCACAAAGTGACAGGGTGAGCTTTTGTGATCGCTTTTCGTCCGTCGTCCGTCCGTAAACTTTTACTTTAAATGACATCTCCTCATAAGCCACTAAGCCAATTTCATCCAAACTTCACAGGAATGTTCCTTTGGTGGTCACCTTTTAAAATTGTTCAAAGAATTTAATTCCATGCAGAACTCTGGTTGCCATGCCAACCGAAAGAAAAAACTTTAAATATCTTCTTTTAAAAAACCCTAAGAGCTAGACCTTAGATATTTTGCATGAAACATCCATTAGTGAGTGTCTACCAAGTTTGGTCAACTGAAAGCCATGGGGTTCAAAATTGGCCCCACCTAGGGGGTCATTGATTTTCCCTATATGCATATAGTAAAAACTTAAAAAATCTTCTTTTAAAGAACCCAAAGAGCTAGAGCTAAGATATTTAGCATGAAACATCTTCTAATGAGTGTCTACCAATTTTGTTCAAATAAAAGCCCCGGGTCAAAATTGGCCCCGCCCCAGGGGGTCATTGATTTTCCCTATATGCATATAGTAAAAACTTTAAAAAATCTTCTTTTAAAGATCTCAAAGAGCTAGAGCGAAGATATTTAGCATGAAACATGTTCTAATGGGTGTCTACCAAGTTTGACCAAATAAAAGCCCTGGGGTTTAAACTGGCCCCGCTCCGGGGGGCTATATACAGGTGAGCGACCTCGGGGCCATCATGGCCCTCTTGTTTTCTGGATCATATCTCAAAAAGTATTTGAGGTATCAACTTGAAACTTCATAGGTGGATAGACATATTGAGGACAAGTGCAGTGCACAAGAATGATAACTCTACCCTGCATAATTTTTCAGTAATTGCCTTGTGTTATTATGTCTCCCAAAATATTTTTTGGGAGACATTGTTTTTGCCTTTCCATCTGTCTGTCTGTCTGTCCGCATTTAGCTTGTCTGGCCTTCACAGGTCAAACTACCATTCCTAGTTGTGCACACCACCGGCATGTTCCGCTTCACTGCACAAAATGGCCACAAGAGTTAAAAATAGAACAATCTTGTCTGGCCTTCACAGGTCAAACTGCTGGTGGGATTTCAACCAAACTTTACAGAAGTGATCAGTACCATTCTTAGTCATGCTAGTTGTGCACACCACCGGCACGTTCCGCTTCACTGCACAAAATGGCCACAAGAGTTAAAAATAGAAAAATCTTGTCTGGCCTTCACAGGTCAAACTGCTGGTTGGATTTCAACCAAACTTTACAGGAGTGATCATTACCATACCTAGTTGTGCACATCACTGGCATGTTCCGCTTCACTGCACAAATGGCCACTAGAGCTAAGAATAGGAAAATCTTGTCTGGCCTTCACAGGTCAAACTACTGTTGGGATTTCAACCAAACTTTACAAGTGTGGTCAGTACCATCTGTAGTTGTGCACACCACCTGCACGTTCCGCTTCTCTGCACAAAATGGCCGCCAGAGCTGAAAATAGGAAAATTTTGTCTGGCTTTCACATGTCAAACTACTGGTGGGATTTCAACCAAACTTTACCGTAGTGATCAGTATCATCCTTAGTTGTGCACTGCACAAAATGGTCACCAGAGCTAAAAATAGGAAAATCTTGTAACGCCATCACAGGTTAAAGTACTGGCGGGATTTCATCCAAACTTTACAGTTGTGATCATTACCATCAGTAGTTGTTCTTATGGCTGGCACGTTTTGCATTGCTGCATAAAATGGCCTCAAGAGCTATAAGTAGAAAAAACTTGTCCGGCCTTCACAGGTCAAACTATTGGTGAGATTTCAACCAAACTTTTCAGGAGTGATCAGTACCATCCATACAAAGGTGATCATTATCATCGGTAGTTGTGCATACTGCTGGCACGTTCTGCATCGCTGCATAAAATGGCAGCCAGATCTATAAATAGAAAAAATCGTCGTGCTTTGACAAGTCAAGCTGCTGGTGGGATTTCAATGAAACTTCACATGAGTGACCATACATAGTTTTGGGAGACATATGTTTTTTCTAGTTTTTCCATGTCTGGTGCATAACTTAACAAGAGCCACCGCTGGGCGGGGGCAACGCTCGACTTTTTACTTTTTCTAAACGCAAACATAGAAAGGTTTGAACATATATTAACGTTTCCTTTTTATAAATTTAGTTGGTCTGTCTTGTCACATTAGTTTTCTTAATATATTTTGTATATATATGAATAGAAACATTAAGCATATTTCTAAAAATAGCAACAGTACGCAATTTCTTAAAATAGCAACATGACGCAATTTCTAAAAATAGAAAAAATGACGCAATTTCTAATAATACAAAAAATGACATAATTTCTAAAAATAAAAAAGTGACACAATTTCTAAAAATAGCAACAATGATGCAATTTCTAAAAATAGAAAAATTGATGCAATTTCTAAAAATAGAAAAAATGAAGCAATTTCTAAAAATAGAAAAAAATGACGCAATTTCTAAAAATACTAAAAATAAAAATTATGACGCAATATCTAAAAATAGAAATTATGACGCAATTTCTAAAAGTAGAAAAAAATGACGCAATTTCTAAAAATAGCACCAATGACGCAATTTCTAAAATTAGAAACTATGACGCAATTTCTAAAAATAGAAATTATGACGCAATTTCTAAAAATAGAAAAAATGATGCAATCTCTAAATATAGAAATTATGACGCAATTTCTAAAAATAGATACAATGACGCATTTTCTAAAAATAGCAACAATGACGCAATTTCTAAAAATAGCACCAATGATGCAATTTCTAAAAATAGAAATTATGACGCAATTTCTAAAAATAGAAAAAATGATGCAATCTCTAAAAATACTAAAAATAGAATTTATGACGCAATTTCTAAATATAGAAATTATGACGCAAATTCTAAAAAATAGCAACAATGACGCATTTTCTAAAAATAGCACCAATGATGAAATTTCTAAAAATAGAAATTATGACGCAATTTCTTAAAATAGAAATTATGACGCAATTTCTAAAAACAGAAAAAATGACATAATCTCTAAAATTAGAAACAATGACGCATTTTCTAAAAATAGCAACAATGACGCAATTTCTAAAAATAGCAATTATGACACAATTTCTAAAAATAGAAAAAATGATGCAATCTTTAAAAATACTAAAAATAGAAATTATGACGCAATATCTAAAAATAGAAAAAATGATGCAATTTCTAAAAATAGAAATTATGACCCAATTTCTAAAAATAGAAAAAATGACGCAATTTCTAAAAATAGCACCAATGACGCAATTTCTAAAAATAGAAATTATGACGCAATTTCTAAAAATAAAATTATAGAAATTAGAAAAATGACAATTAGCAACAATGACGCAATTTCTAAAAATAGCACCAATGATGCAATTTCTAAAAATAGAAATTATGACGCAATTTCTAAAAATAGAAAAAATGATGCAATCTCTAAAAATACTAAAAATTGAAATTATGACGCAATTTCTAAAAATAGAAATTATGACGCAAATTCTAAAAATAGCAACAATGACGCATTTTCTAAAAATAGCAACAATGATGCAATTTCTAAAAATAGCACCAATGACGCAATTTCTAAAAATAGAAATTATGACGCAATTTCTAAAAATAGAAAAAATGACACAATCTCTAAAAGTAGAAACAATGACGCAATTTTTATAAATAGCAACAATGACGCAATTTCTAAAAAT